ACAGTGAACACAGGTAAATTATACAGTTGTCAACGTCACGCTCAGCACGTGCGTGTGGTGAAAGCCAGGTGTTCAAGTCAGACCACACCTTTACTTTCCTGTTCGTTCACACGTACCTTACAGCATTAGATGTTTTCACCATGAAAATGTGCGAAGTGCTATTCCTTCCGGTTAGAGTTTGTTAGAGAACTTCCTGGAGCATAAATAATTTTACTGTCGAAGTCAAAGCAAATGAATTCGATAGTTTATATGAAGTGGACAACATAGTGACTTGAAATCTCGATTCCCCTCGTGAGTTGTGGGGTGTTAACATTTCCGTGTCCGTTACACAGTATGTAATGTACACTCAGTTTGATTTACAGGCAAGTAGCTGACTTCTGTGCCCTGCCTGATCAATACAATTTATTGTTTCCCCGGGATGTGAATTTAGCACCTCTTGTGCTTAACGTAATGCTAGGCAACAACTTAACCATTATGCGCGAAAAATTATGATTATGGACATAATGAATCATGCTAACGAAAAAAAACGCGTTAGTATTAAGAAATTTTCCCACCGTTTCGTTGCCTCTATTGGTCGCAGATGCCTTCGCCCATAAATGGTCAATATTAAAATAATTTTCCAATTCGAATCAGTAGTTCCTGATATAAGCGCGTTCAGACAAACAACCTTTACGTTTTACTTCCTCTTTAATCCTACGGGATCCAATTCTTACAATACCAGGTATCTATCAGATCGCCACACACACTATTCAATATCCCCTTAGAATTTCAGGAACGTTGTGACGTCATCAATTCCAGGGTGTACCCGTACCGCTGCGGGCACTTCATTGACATTCCAAATTACCTCCCGGTGACTCACAGTCTCAATTAAAATGTTACTAGCGAGACTTGCACCTTATTATCAGCATTCTTCATGACGCACTCCATTTTCCTCGTAACAAATTGGTTATTGAGCTTAATGCCGATGCAGTGCATTACGCTTTTCCGATTATTCTCTTTGGGAAATTGAAGTTGTATTGTTTCGAGGCCTAGTTCGATTCAGTGGTAGCCAATGTATTTGTAAATATTATAACACTGAAGAGTTTGTTTGAACGCTTTAATCTTAGGAACTACTGGTTCGAATAGTACAAAATGGGGGCAAAAACTGGCAATAAACTCGCCGTCACTCCTTTCGCCTAGTTTCATTTTACATTCTTTATGTACCTTAAGTGCGCTACATATTTTTCCTTGTAAGAACGGGTTCCTCCACACATTTTTATCATTTAAATATTGATTAAAATGATAATAACCCTTTTCAAGCAGTTTTTGTTTTACATACGATTTAAACCTATTTATTGAGAGTGCTTGCACTTCGCTGGGGATTTTATTAAAGTATCGTATGCAGTTACCTCGAAAAGAACTACTACTTTTATGGAGCCTGTTGTTTGGTACACTTATTTTGTCCTTATTTACGTGTATTGTACTGATGAAAGCTGCCGTGTGTTTTAAAACTCACTCATATAACATCTAAACAAGATGCACTGTCATTAATTTGTTTGGCTGTGGATATTGTGTAATCCACGTACTGAAACTGAAATTCAATTTAACATGACGGCTTCTTCATCTGTGGCCGGTATTTCAATACTCCTCCACCCAAGGTTGCCAGACGAAATCCAACATGTTTTAGAAAAATCATAAATTGGTTAGAAAAGTGGTGTTGGACCCCGAGGTGATCGAATCCTCGACCCATTTATTATTAGCCATACATTCCTACCATTAAACCAACGAGTCCGTCAAATGCTTGTTTGTCAAAATGTCAAAAATACGTAACATTTTACCGGTTTTGCGAATATATTAAATGATCCAACAATGCAAAATTATAGAAATGCGCGCGAGTCGATTAGTACTAGAATGAGTGAGCTTTTTATAGTAGTCATGCATTATAGAACAGGGATGTGGCCGTGTGCGGATGTAACGCTGTTTACATTTGTATGAATGGAAATTGTTAAGCTCTAACCACAGATTATAAACGACTACGTTCGATGAAATATTGCATTCTAGGAATAACAATGGTAATTTTCGTGATTTAGTTATTATTTGTGGACTTTAAATTAATTAATTTAAAATGAACTTATAACTAATGCTCTACGATATACATTATTGTAATAACTGCAAGAGCAAGATTGTTGTGTATTTATATATTAAAAGGCAGTGACGAAAAATTTGGTAAAACAGAAATATAGAAAAGCAATATAATTTTAATTAACGTAAATGTAGTTAGTTGTTTTACCTAAAGCACTAAACAATGTGACAGCAAAAAATCTATCAACCCAAATCTCTTATAAGCATTGTTAGTCGCGACCTACATTCTAGCATAGTGCATAGTTGATAGTCGCGCGCGCATGCCGTTTTGATTGCATGATCGCTTCGAGTCATCGATGTTCAATGACATCATGCCAAATGTTATTTATTACGTAATACTCTGAAATTTATGTTACTTTTAACACGCGTGTCGTACATTCCTCACAACGGGTTCGAAGTGCATATTTACACGTTAGACTATTTTTAATGAGGCGTTTAATGCATAAGAAATGTCACTGACTATGAAATCGTTTAGATAAGATATTCAAGGAATTAAGTGTTTTATTGTTTTTTGAATTTAAAATAATATAGACCTGTTTTAAAAAACTTTTATAACAAAATTATATATTAACTTTACAAAGTAATAAAACACATGGTACGCTAGTATTTCCAAATACTTAGAGAAGGTTTTAAAATGCCGTTTTAACTCCGAAGACAAAGAAGCGTGTGATCTTAATGGCATTTGAAAAAGCATATTTCTGTGTCAATAGACTATTGTGAGGACTATTGACGAGAAATCAGGCCAAATATAATGGCCGTTAAACGTGCCAAAAAATTTGTAATTTCTTGCTTCATTTGATACGGTGACACCTGCCGATTTGAATGGCATTTTCACTTTCAACACTTTCCTTTACTCTTTTACAAAGAGATGATGCGCCAGCTAAAGCTCCATTCTCAAACAACATAGATTTTTAATTTTGCTCTTTTCTGAAATTGAAGTTCACCCTTATATGTATGGACGGATAAGTTCGGAAAAGAAAAGATTAAATACCTTGAAATGGAATGAACGGTAAGACTTTTGTCGGTTTTTAATTTTATTCCTTATTAATAGTACGAACAATAACACTAATATCATACGCCACTTAACGTAATAGGTAAGCTAACATCTAGACCAGATGTTACACAATCAATTTAGAATTGGCTCCAGCCCACTTTCTCTTGTCGGCGTTTTAGTTATCTTGTATTATTCGAAATTTAAATTATTGCTTAACAGCCACGTGTAAGGAACAGTTATCTGTTTCTCATTGTTTTTAGGGGTGTTCAGCCGATGCGAGCGAGAAGAGGTTCTCGACGTTTCGCCATCACGAGCGGAGCATCATTGGGAGATGTTAGCTACTCGATTACTCCAAGAATTAATAGTTAAGACCGAACACCCCGAAAAACAATGATTTTTGCTGAACGATGGTCGTGAAAGCCATACACAATTTATATTACCTGTAGTTATGAGTACAAAATATATTAGCTAAAAGTTATTCTATGTATGCCCATTTGAGGTTTTCACTTAGACAAATTGTAACATTTCAGCTAAGTACGCTTTGTTTAGAAATTCCAAGCTTGGTAACGTGAAAGAGTAAAAATGAAGAAGCAGAGTCGGTGGTGCACCGCATTACTGACCGCGCGAGACGAAATAAAATATGGGCCTTTATGTTTATACACTTTGTGCTGTAAAAGTTTATAGCCCTCGGCGGCTCGTTCAATTGAATTCCGTGAAAAATTTACTTTACACCTTTTGCTTATTAGAAATCTCTGTTAAATGTTCGTAAATTGTTTTCATCTTTCACATGTGAACGAGATAGAACTGAACGCGTTTTATTCAATCGTTTCTATGAATTTTATAAATGCAAACGTAAGCGTTTTATACTCAAATTAAAACACTAGATTTTCTTAAACAAAAATTGCCTCCCCGTGACCACGGCTGCTGCGAAACATCTGAAACGTCGGGCCATAGTTAAAATAATTTTCAAACAAGTTTAACTACAATATATCGCGTTTTAAACCGTTAAAGTGTTTTATTTACATGTGTACTACTCCGTTAACAAGTTTGCAGATTTTTTTTCATAGACAAACATCCGCGTACTTTACTAATAAAAAGTTATAGACGCATAAACTATCTACATATTACATTTATTAATCAGTTTCCTTTCAACGCATCTAGTAATATTATTTAAATATAATAATCGCACGATTGAATGCCAATCACCCGTATAAAACGTGATTTTCTACCACTTTCTTGTATACGATGTCAATGTAATCATTAAACTGCGAAGATTGACATGACAATCGCGTACGAAACGGTGTCGTGTTGCGCATTGTAATGGGGGGTAAAACTTAGGGAAAAAGTACTATTGACTATAAACGTATCCCACAAAGATATTTACTACTTCTGTTTATACTTAAAATTTATAACCCTTTGGTAATATGATTTCGATTTTTTTTAATTATAATTGTTTTGTGTCGTTGGTAGGTGTTTTTCGTTAAACTGTAACGAGATTCGATATAACAATATAGTCAGCCATTTAAAGGCTGATCACCTACATTGATTAATAACTATTAAATTTAAATAAAAGAGACGAAACGGACTATTGTTTTCGTTTTAAAATTTACCGAACTAGTTAATTGTTTGTCGAACTTGTTTTTTGTGTATATTATTGTTTGATTATTTTTAAAGCACAGCGTCTATATATTGAATTGCGCATTAATTATGTCTCGAAAAGACTAATCTTACACAATTTTAACGAAGATATATAATATTGAATAAGATAATATGACCATTGGCAGTTCTAACAGCCTCTAATAAGGAACATGTTATTTTATTGTGTTTTATATTCTGTAATCCTAATGATTCTTACACATAACATAGACCCTTATCTTGTCCACAGCTAAGCGAAGAGGTGCAAAGAAAGCAAAGCGAATACCAAAAGTGTCTCGAATCTTACAAGCAGATGCGCGCTAAGTTCGAGGAGAATTACCTAAAATGTGAGTACGTAGTGAGTACCTTCTAATTAATAAATTATTTGTGAAAATTCCCGATACACTTCTGTTTAAGGGAAGACGAAAAAATATTTCTTATGAAATTGTATACGCAAAACTATTATATTGCCTCCAGACTGAGTGATTTTACTTGCTGGATTTATTTAAAAGTATTTACTATAACTATGTTAATTGTTGTTAACGCGAGTAGTACATATTTAAACAATACTATTTTAAGGGTTAAAAACGCGAAATATATTCGTTAACTTCTTTACCTAATCTATACTAATATTATAAATGCAAAAGTAACTCTGTGTGTCTGTCTGTCTGTCCGGCTTTAACTCCGAAACTACTGAACTGATTTAAGTGAAATTTGGTATATGTATAGATATTTTAGAACCTGAGAAAGGACACAGGCTACTTGCCAAAAAAGGGTTGATAGGGGTTGAAAAAGGGGTGAAAGTTTGTATGGAAATTGGTTTTTTGGTAAAAGGAGTGGGAGTGAGGGTAGGAATGTGGAGTGGGAGTTAGAGTAGGAGTGATGTGAGGAGAGAGTGTTGCGGCAAAGTAGCATATACAACATAGATTGGCCGCCTTAAATATGCACCCCAATTCTACCCCAAGTCACTATTACTGGCGGACGAAGTCGCGGACACAGCTAGTATATTATAAAATAATTCGTTTTATAAAGTTGCTAAGTGGTAAGCGTATCAGTATCAACATTATACTTTTTTTACAAACTTGGAGATGTAGAGTGTAGATAAAATAAACATAGAAGGTAGCTGAAGCACTGAATGAAAACGTTTCCAGTATTGTTATAAACAGATCAACCCACGTCCTAGTCTCCGTAAACTAAATTCGCGAAACGAACCACAGACTATTTCCTACCAAAATATTTACATCTATAAAGTAATGCATGCATGAGAGCAAATTGAAGTCTAGTTCTTTTTAGATTGGAGGGTATTTTGCAAGGTTGAATTTGCACTCTTAAAGTAACTCCATGTTATTTATAATTACTATATATATAATATATATTTTTGGAATATTATAAAACAAATTAAAGTATCGTCATATATTACTATTTAAGGAAAATAAAGGTTTAAATTACAATTCAAAATGTGTAACACTTCAAAAAAAATAAAGAAATAAAAAACTAATTATGTAGGCTGAATAAATTGACTTCGAAATCAATATACGTTTTAATAAAACGAGATTTAAAACGCGATATATATTAGTTGAACTTATGTGAAAATTATTTTAACTACGGCCCGACGTTTCGACGAATGTGTACTACTCGCGTAAATTACAGAGAGTATTCAACATACGTTACCAAAACTATTTCCTTTATTAAATGATCTCATTTTATAACTGAATGAACACGTTAAATCACGGTTTAATAATAAAACATGCGCCTGCGCAAGATTATTCCGTATTTAACGATGAAGTTGGACGCGATCATTACATTAGCTCGTGATAACAACCCACCAATCCACCGGCGCCAGTAGAGCAATTTCGCAAAACCCACTTATCAGTCCCTTCTATAGACTATCTCGAATGCAAATGTGGGCTGCTCGGATGAAAGCGTTCAAACATAATTAGATTATTGATTTATTGCGTTTCAATGTTGCATCAATAAATGGGTTTTTGATGTACTGTTCGTCTGAATATGCAAAATCATATTTAAGTTAAAATTACGTTAACCTTTTCACCATTCCTATAGAGCAAAGCTTTCACTAAAGAGATACAAAGATATACATAAAATGCATACAAACATACGTATATAGGATTTGATTACATTCGCAAGCGTCGTAAGGCATGTTAGTTATATTCAACAATTTGTTCATATTTGGTTATTTAAAATAATTTCCTTTAAACATTATTTAATTTTTGTAACTTTATGCATGTATTTAAAACTGTGTGGTGTGGTGTGGTCAATTACAGTCTCTGGCTTGGTAGCCAACGAATGGCGATACCCAACGAATTTAAGGGATTTATCATACATTATAAACCTAAAATTAATTATTGATAACATTACCAACGGGTACGGTGGCAATGATTATTGTTTCTCTGCTTTTCAGGTCCTACAAGTAGAGGAGGTAGAAAACTAGATGAGACCAGAGACAAGTATGGCAAAGCCTGCCGTCGGCTCCACAGAGCACACAATGAGTATGTGCTTCTATTGGCTGAGGCGACTGAGTGTGAAAGAGCGTTGCGAACGGCCGCCTTACCAGCTATATTGGATCAGCAAAGGCGGCAAGGAGAAGCTACCGCATCTTCTTGGTCAGTCTCCTTTAGTAGGCATCTTCTTAAATCATATAATCCTGGTACTTTTTCTAATAATTTCATATCCTAGTTGAATCTTCTTACAATTACAAAATGTTTTAAATTAACCTAAAATTAGACGATACTTCATTTATTCCTTTTTTTCTTTTGTTCTTCATAGAAATATGTTATAGGATAATGTAAATTCTTTTGTTTTCACAGGAAGGGAATTTTACTTGAAGTCGTACAAAGATCAGACTTTAGCACAGATAAGTTTAAGGAGATTCAGAGCAAGTCAGAAACGACTGTCCAAAATCTGAAACCGCAAGAAGAGTATAGGGACTTCATGGAGAAATATAAGTGAGTTTTCTAGTTTTTTTTTTATATATACAAATTAATCAATATGATTGAAAACCAAAAAGAAGAGAATTTTTACTTTCTTTTGTAACATTTCTTGCCATATCATTTTTTTTGATATAGGCATGATTATTTTTTATAGGGCCCATATATTTTTTATGGCTCCTGCAATAAGTGCATGAACGGTAGATAAAAATAAGTCTTTCTTCCCAGATCACCTCCTTCAACACCAGTCACCTTCACCTTCGACGAAAGCCTGGTGGAAGACACTAGTGGAAAGCTTCAACCAAACCAGTTAACAGTAGACAATTTAACGGTAGAATGGTTAAAGGAAAAGTTAACAGAACTGGAGTCAGTGCTGCAGGATAATAGAGAGAAGCAAACAGCTTTACAGGGACCGGAAATTATTGGGAACGGTGTCTGTAAGAACAATAATACTGGAATGACTAATGGTGTTAACGGAATTGACAGGTACTTTCATAATTATTAACAATCACATTGTTGAATAATCCTTACTATAATATAATATTATAAATGCGAAAGTAACTCTGTCGGTCTGTTACTCTTTCACGTCAAAACTACTGAACGGATTTGAATGAAATTAGGCTTTATTGTGAAAAGGGGGTTGTAAGGGGTTAAAAGGGGTATGAAAGTTTGTACGTAAATTCGTGGTTTTTAAAGTTAGAAAAATGATACTTTCTTCTTTGACTTGTTACGGCAAAGTAGCACTTACAACATAGATTGGCTGCCTTAAATGCGCCCTTACATAAAATAATAAACAGCCTCAATAATTAAACAATTCTATATGAGCAAAAGTATTCACATGTATGTACTAAGTTAGGCATGTCCCAAACCCACGACAACAGCATCCCATCGTTATTCTCAATATCTAGAATACAAAACAATTTAATTAATTACCTACCATGTGTAATAACTTGTGGAGAATGTTTTTTAAAATGTTTACACTTAAAACACTATTAGTAATTTATTTTATATATTTTTTAGGCATTCACCACCACCAATACCAGTAACTACTTCAGAACCCATTAAGCTTTTAGAGCTTCGGATAGCAGAAAGGAAATGTGCCAAACAAGCAGAGATGATACGTTCAGCACTCGCTGAGTTGGGCTGCGAGGAGGCACCAAGTGGTTGTCCGGATCTATCTGCTGAAACTGTAGGAGTTGATAGTTTGGATGGCAGTTCACCGGACCATCAGGTATGGTCCTCCATTCTGTAATTTCAATGTAGTATTGCAATCAAAATAATTTGTCAAATTTAAAGTTCTTTAAAATGAGGAATCTGTATATGAGTGAGATTTTTAAAAATGACTTTCGAGAGAAATTTTGAGGTTTTTCTGGGTTGATGTGTTGATAAGCTCATATATAGATATAAAGGAAACTGTATCCAACGTAAAAGTTATGCAATTGATAAACATTAAATAATTCACTTTACATTCATTGAAACATGTATTATATGAATTGAATGTGTTTTACAAATTTAAACCGGACGCGTTAAGTAGTTGTATAAAGTAATTTGTAAAATGTCTAGAACATTTTAGAGAGTCTTTACATATATATGGTCTAGCCGTCAAATTTTGCGTAACATCCTTACTGTGAGAACCGACGGCCACAGGTATAATATAATAATTCGTAAGAGCGGTGCCGGATTCGTAAAGCTTCTTTAGTAATGTTCATAACTAAACCAGGATCGATCATCGATCGGGTCAAAAGCGTCAATGGACGCGTTGCGGTTACACCTCCACTCCATTATTCCGCCGAAGCCGTTCTTCAGAATGTTCACGCGGCCCTTCAGACGCAAGTCTGTCCCCTCCAGCCCAGCTCTACCCCCCAAAACCTACCGAAGCAGTAGCGAGGGCCCCGCCGACTCGGTAAAGCTAATGCGAACCCTTCGAAAGAAACGAATCGCTCTCAAAGGGCGTTTTCGCAAGCGTGATGTGTATGTTCGGTGTAAAGAGAGCCTTAACAAGACTAGAAGAAGTCGTGTGTGTAAATGTCGTAGTCGTTTGGTGAGTGCAATTGCTGGTTGAAAACGCATCCTGGTGTATAACATTTATTAACTTCCGTGCTCAAACGCGGAAGATACGTATCGAAGGTTATAATTTAGGAACTCGTATTTTTTGTCCTCACGTCTGCTATTCAAAATTTTAATGTTATTTTTTTTTATTGCATTCAAGATCTTAAGGTTTATTTCCATCAAGCAGTAATAGGTTCGCGCGTTTCCAAATGCTATACACCAGGGTGTCAGTGTGAGCTACGAGCTTACAAAATGTTCGCAACCAGCATAACCGTCGAGACGCATGGCATGACCGCATGGACGTCGGACGTTACGTCTCCCACTGAGTTGCGACAGAACACGTTAATTTTAGCCGTAGTATCCCAGCACGCGCGAACTTCGCACCGGAATAAGCTTTCATATAAAATTAAAATAGCAACAGTACTGCGAAGCACATTTTCAAAATCAAGGTGACGCGGTGAGACGTTCCAGAAATGCTGTGTTTACGCGACGCTCGCGCATTTCACACTTACTACGTCAATTTTTGATGATTACTTCCTGGCCGAGTGAAATCTGGATAATTAACGTTCAGTGAAGTTTTATGGAGTCGTAAATAGTTATGGATCCGTTCGCGATGTACATAACTAATGGGGAACTGCCACCGGTCGTGATACCGAGGAGGAAGAAACGCTTGAAGCAATTACAGCTGGAATTAGAAAAGGAAATTGTATGGCACGTCTCTGTGGTCACCGCTTTGTGTACTATAATTGTGTGGGCATGACTAATTGGACTTAAGTTTTGTGTTTACATTAACCTACTAAAGCAATCGAGACACCTTCTTAAGGAGAACCAAAATTGTTCTGATACCTTGAACCTTTGGATAATGGAAACTCTCGATCCGAATCATTCCTTCATTTAAGTCTGAATGGCATCTGCATTGCAAATCGAAAACAGCGAACCCACGCACCCGTATTCGTCATCACTTTTATTGGTGTCTATATCTAGTGATATTTACAGGTGAGCGCAAGTGAGACAGAACGATCCCTGGTTGACCAGGAATGGTTCCACGGGGTTCTACCGAGGGAGGAAGTGGTGAGGCTACTAAGAAATGATGGAGACTACCTGGTGCGTGAGACCACGCGAAATCACGCGAGGCAATTGGTGCTGTCCGTCTGTTGGGGACAGCATAAGCATTTTATTGTTCAGACCACACCAGAAGTAAGTGAAACTCTTATGGCCTATTGGATATTAAGGTTATTAATAATTAAACTAAAAATAATAAATATATTTAGATTGAAACTGACTTGAACTTAATCCGGCATCCACAGTGTACCGTCGTCAGACGGCAACAGCACAGAACGCTGTCGTTTCAAGTGCCACCCATATCCTAAATTTCTTCAATATAATAAAATTTAATTAAATACAATGCAATAACATGTAAATATTTTATAAAACAAAAGTTTTGTAATGAGTCATTTGTCAAGGTCTCTTTATTATTCAACTTTGTATGTTTATGCTCATGAAATTTGAAAATAATCTTCCAGGGTCACTATAGGTTCGAAGGAGCTGCTTTTCCATCAGTAGCTGAGTTAATAGCGTGGCAGCGAGCCAGTGGCGTGCCAGTAACCGCGCGCTCCGGGGCGCTACTACGTCGTGCCGTGCCCAGGGAAACCTGGGAACTCAACAATGACCACGTGCAGTTGTTGGATAAAATCGGTCGAGTAAGTTATGTTACGCTTGGAATTGAACATGGCACAAAATATTTAAATGAAGAAATAATGTTCTTTGATGCAAATATAAGCTTATTTACGTTTCTTGAACGAAAACCTTATTTCACACTATATTGTAAAAAAATACTTAATCAGAACATGGTAAATATTTGACTTTTTCAAATCTTATGGTGTTTTACCCGAGCGGCTCCTTAGCTTAATGGCTAAACGTTGCACGTTAAGTATTGGTTTCTAATCCTGAGGAAATAAAAATTTGTTCAAATTAGGGAGCAGAACTGTGATCGGCTGTTTGTCCGTAATTGGCAGAGCAACAGCACGGAACGGTGACGATGCCGGTTCAAGTGCTGCCCGAGTTTTTTTTTCATTTTATTTTAGTTTTCATTCATGTATTCCATTTTTAGGGTAATTTTGGTGACGTATACAAAGCGCGTCTAATAACAACGGGACAAGAGGTTGCTGTGAAGACCTGTCGCGTGGCGTTACCGGAGGAACAAAAGCGAACCTTCCTGCAAGAGGGACGGATTCTTAAGCAGTACCAACATCCCAACATCGTGAGACTCATCGGTATTGCTGTTCAGAAGCAGCCTATCATGATTGTGATGGAGCTAGTGTCAGGTATCCTCAAAAATACTATCTGTAGATTACGCGAGCAGAACACTATCACGGCTGCTGCAAAGCATCCGAAACATCGGGCCGTAGTAAAAATAATTTTAACTATTATATTTTGCGTTTTAAACCAGTTAAGTGTTTTAATTGAAGGTATCCTCTAAACTTTAATAATATTTTAGGTAATTAGTTGAATAATGTTTCACATTCTATTTATAATCGTTATTGTCATATTATATGTAAATACAACTTTCAGTGACGTTAGACGTAGTAAAAGCTTTAAAATAAGTATTCTTATGACGCTTTTCTTGGTATTGTCATACAACGTGACAAGAACGACTAACATATATTTTTAAGCATTAGAATACCTTTTAAAAAAATTTGCCGTTTAAAACGCGAAATATATATTAGTTAATTTATTTTAAATATATCCGACTTTCGTAGTTGTAGTACTGTTTTATTTAATTGTGCACCCCTCACGTGATTCCAGACAAAAGTTGTTTAAGCATTTAAAGTACTTTCTTACCGATTCCGTACAAAATGAGCTTGACACAGACTATAATTTTTTTTCATCTTTCAGGTGGATCCCTGCTTACCTTCTTACGAACGAGAGCCCAGAACCTGAGCTCTCGGTCACTCTTGGCGATGTGTCGCGACGCAGCCGCTGGAATGCGATACTTAGAGTCAAAGAGTTGCATCCACAGAGACCTGGCTGCTAGGAACTGCTTAGTCGGTGATGATAACATCGTCAAGATATCGGACTTCGGGATGTCGAGGGAAGAAGAAGAATATATAGTGTCTGGTGGCATGAAGCAGATACCGATTAAGTGGACCGCACCGGAGGCTTTGAACTTTGGTTAGTATATATAGTAATACTATACTATTGGTAACTTTCCTTTCGTTTATAGTGCTTATAGAGAGTTAAGTCGGAAAATTTTTCATAATCTACACTCTTTCCAGGGGGCTATTTGCTATGCGTTATTATTAGTTAAGCAGTTCAATATATTGGGTTTTAAAATAAAGTTCATAAAAGTTCTTAGATACTAAACATAATATTATTCTAGTAATAATTTTAATGTATTTAGTAATAAAGTTTTTTGTTATTATCACTCAGTTTATATTTCTTATTCTCTTTTGACATAAAATAAAAACTAAATAGATTATGATATAATCAATTTTTTATATAATTTGATCATAATCTACATAAAAGGAAGATAGTATTCAATAATATAGGAAGTAACTCATGCTATGATGTAAATATTCAAATGTGAACAAAATGCATACATTAAGTAATACGCTGTAATATTTCCGCAATAACATAATTAATTCTGACATAAACCGCTTTTAATTTCACTGATTACATAGCGTGAGAAAGGTATCAATTATGATTTGACAGACCAAAACCTCTTGCACGGTATTAACCTTATTTTGGGTACTAACGAAGCACGCATACAACAAAAATCAAAATTCCCCTAGCTAGTAGCTAAGTTGGTTAGAGAAACAGAACGGAACGCTGTGGTTGTCGGTTCAAATCCTACCCGTGTCGTCTTTTATTTAATTTTAGATGTTTAATTTTAAATTTCCCTTCTCAAGAACTCGCAAGTCGTGGCTTTGCTATGGGCGGTATATACCGTAACTAACCACTGAGCCTAAGAGATCTCGTAAATCTCTACATTATTCACCATGACACGTGATTATTTATTTATTTTTGTGCTTTAGGTAAATATACGTCTCTATGCGACGTGTGGAGCTATGGTGTGCTCGTGTGGGAGATATTCTCAAAAGGTGACACGCCCTATGCTGGCATGAGCAACTCGAGGGCAAGAGAAAAAATCGATCAGGGTACAATTAATATTCATTATAGCAATTCAACAAACAAATTCAGTTCTGTGCTAAAACTAGAATGCTTCTAAGCCGTAGTCAGAAGAGACTTAGATGTATTTAATTTCCCTATTTTTTTATTTGACGGTTACGTATATGCCTAATAACCAACGGGTCATGGTTCGTCCCCACTGAGTCCAACATGAAAAAGCCGTGAAGTTGATTTCCTAATCTCCACAGCCAAATTAGGTCGACAACCTAACTTCTTTAGATGTTATACGGCTGGGGTATCTCACCTTCCGTCAAGTGAACCACACACATGTCTGTTCTCTATCATAAAGAATCCAACTTCAAAAATGGTATATTTTTTTATCAGTAATGTTCTCCACTTATATCAATTTTTCACTTAATCACAATTTTTTACATGTTCAGGTTATCGCATGCCAGCGCCCGAGAGTTGTCCCGAAGAAGTTTACGCCCTGATGCTTCGTTGTTGGGAATATGAACCAGAGAAACGGCCGCATTTCAATCAAATATACACAATAATTGACAATATCTACAATAGATAGCTTAAACCAACTTAGGTATAATATCAGTATATGTTGTATTGCGAAATAAAAAATATTCCGGGTTTAGTACAATTAATAAAAAAGTACACACTTTTTTTACTTCATAAATAATTGAATAATTTTGGGTTATAGAGTATTAATCAGTATTTTACTATTTCGCAAATAATTAATTAAGGTATGTACTTATAGCCAGTAACGTAGCTAGGTAGTCAAGGGCCCCGGTCTACCTAATCCTAAGGCTCAAGAAAGAATCGGGTCCCCATCCACTCTTTTAACATAGCTTGAATTAAAACCTCCAAAATTATAGATAGCAACAAGAACGTTAAAAATCCTTTTCTTCTACGCTTATATCTTCTCAGAAATAAGGTTAGAGGGCCCCTAAATTCCGGGGCCCTGGTGCACTGCACCACCTGGCCCTACGATAGCTACGCCACTGCTTATAGCATTTAAGGATACTCAGTAATAAAAAGAAAGAATATTCGAATTAGTTCACCTGTTGTTGTTGCGAAAAAGTTTTGATCTCTTGATCTTAAATTAGTGATGCAATGTACTTTATGTATGTGCTACGGTTGATACAATAATTTGAACATTGCAATCCACTATTTGAACTAGTAATTATTGATTATGACAAATTTACCCATTTACCGTAACATAACTATTTTTAGTGCTAACATAAGTAGTTATTAAACATAAGTTAATAATTTTCCAAAGTGACCTTATTTGAAATCGATTTTTAATGACTTTACTAAGTATGACTGGTATCTTAAAATCTTTGCAATAAAAAAACCTTCATAGCTGAACCAAATTCCTACAAATGCTTGTTTATAATACTCTAGTATAAGTACAATTATGTATATACATCTTATTATTAAGTATCTAATTATGCCTTAATGTTTTTAGTTTCAAAATTTCTTTTGTGATATTGTATTCGTGCTTCCATAATATTTTATTAGATCACGTTATTCTCTTGCCGTGTAAAAATAACTTTGTAATGTAACTCGAAGTGAGATAACGTTAAGGAAAATTTTTTAGGTTTTAAGAATTTAAATACACGAGACGTTTGTAAATAGATTTTATATTACGTATGTCCTCCTTTTTTTTAATAAAGTGCCAGATGAATTTGGATGTTTGATGTGTTTTCTTTTAGATATATGGCAAGTATGGCAAGTTACATGTTTTAATAGTCGACAATAAGTATAACAATTTAATCATTCGATTATTAATTTATTACTTAGTAGTAGTTCAAATCGAAACTTACTGTACTGTCTATACTCTATAGTTTACGCGAGTAGTACACATTTAATAAAACACTTTACGGTATAAACACGATATATTAGTTATTATTATGATTTGATGATGATTCTCCCAGTGACCAGCTTGAAAGCATCCGAAAGGTCGGGCCGGAGTTAAAAATCATTTTCAAATAAGTTTAATATATCGCGTTTTAAACCGTTAGTTATATTAATACATGAAGGTAAAGATATAGAACCAAATGACTATTCGTTAGAGAAGCTTTCGAAGTAGTAGTAATAAATTATAATGGTCTTTTGTAGTTTTTCTCGTTAAATTAACGAATTATAAAGCATATGCTGAAAGGTCAAATTAATCTAAACATAAGAATATTTTGTCTATTTATGATTATATGAAGAAGATCCATTTCAAGGCATGAAGCCTCATGTTCCAAATCTTGCTACAGACGGATTAAAATGTACGATCTTCAACACTTCATTATAATGTTAGCGTTTTAATGGAACACATTTTTCGTATGATAATTTTATTCACAAGTACAACTTTAATAATTCGTCACTAACGGCGGAAGGTGTCAAAATGCCCAAATCGGTAAAGAGTAGAGTAATGTATGCAGGGGGTGTATAGTCCACTAAAGGGTGTTGCTTCGCCAAATCCCCCCGATGCTATGACACTTGAGAGATATTTAAACTCGATAGGAATGTCTTGCTGATTGAGAGGGTATATTCTTGAGAATTTGAAACTCTCCGTTAGCACATAGACAGGCCTCTTGAGTTCTGACGCTGACATAGCCAGGCAGTATGTACCAATCTGTAAAGTGCAAATTTTGCAAAGAGTGAGTCATTGAAGAGCTTTCATCAATATTTTTAAGAGTAATATTGAGAATGTTTAACAATAGTTGACAAGATGCTTAATTCATTTTATTAGTACTTTGGGGGTTTCCCTGCGCTTCATTATAATTAAATAATATTTAAATATTAAAGACGGATGTGCTGTCTGCTTTTGGCTATATTGTCTAGGATCTATGGAGGCCAGGTGATGATCAGTCATTATTGGCTAACCATTTCAAAACATACCTACACATATATATGACACAGAGTAATTAATTTTTTTAAACTTCTTTGTTCCGAAATTACAAAATGAAAGAATTATACAGTAACAAACCTTGTTAATAATTCCTCCGCTCTCTGTAATGCCTTCAGCACCTATCATAACAATGTCCACTTGTTCCATGATGTAACCAACAGCTGAGTCAAGAATCAGTGTCGCTTCGATCCCTGCTGCAACCAGCTCTTTGTGCATTCGTTTACTGAAAGCCATTTAATATATATATAGTATGTTAATGAAATATTCAGCACTATGCTGTAATGTGCATGCTGTATGTAACTGTAACCTGGAAACAATCATTTATGTGCCCATGTAAAAGATTAGAACCAAAAATCTAAGAGGATGTTAGCGTCTAATCTTTGGAATCTATATATAACCATCTATTTTGATAAACGGCGCTAGGTTACTTTTAAAAAAAGTTAATAGAAATAAAATTCAACACATAATTTACTTATTTTAAAGCACAATGATTACTTGAGGATATATAGTAATTAAAATAATTTCTCACCCACTATTATCAGGACTAGAGTAGGTTACGAAAACCTGGAACCTTTTGTTAGCTTTAACAGCCTCCAGCATGGCAGCAAGAACTACACGGGACCGTGAGTGGGTCAGGATTTTCTAAAAAATAAACCCATCTGTGATTATCATAGGCATTCCGTCTATTAAATTTAAATAAAGTAAAAGTGTTAAGATATGGCATGTTTACAACACTTTGAAATAAAGACAACAAGTCATAACTAAATCTGGGATTGTAAGAAATATTTAATACTTAATAATTTCTCAATTACATCAGGCACCTGGCACAAAATAATTATTTAAGATGAAAAAAGCAGATCAATTTGAATATTCCCGTAACAAGCAAGTAATACTTTACTCACACATCCGTCACTGATAAATGGTAATGACTGTTTGGCAACCTTTCCTCTAGCTTCAAGCAATGTATCCAAGAATATTCTGCCTCTCTGCAGCATTATCTGTTCACACTCCTCAAAAGACTGCAAGTATTGAAAGGAAATATCATAAAACATATTCCAGTAACCTCTTTATAAACAATATTAACATCAATTTGTAATTACTATTGTAATTCTTAAGTAGGTTCTGCTTTTTCATAATAATGATTACGAAAATGTTGTAGAAATTAGGAATTATCATTAAAAAAATAATAGAATCATTATTTTTCAACAACTGACCTTAACATCTAATTTAGCGAAAGTAATGAATCTCATAAATAGTTCACATCCAGAAGATATAGCTGTAACAGGTTGGTCGCAGTGCCGCATTGCATCAACTGCCAGTTGTAGATTTAAATCTAGTTCCCGTACTGTTGCCACTAGAAGATTTTATCAATAAATATATTTACCAGGTTTGTTTTTATTTGTCTGTTAAAAGCTATACAGTTAAGAATATAGCTTTTGTCAAACAGGGCATGAAAATCTCAAAATAGAGTTTATCAATGTGTATTGCTGTATTTAATAATGTATTTTTATAAATACAGTCTTAAAAATATTTACTATGATAAAAATCCCACCTTTGTAGTTTTCTATAACTGTCAATAAGGTTTTAATAGCTGCAACACCAACCGACACATCTTCCTCTTCTCGCAATATTTTTAGAAATATTTCTTGAACTTCTGCAAGAAAAGTTAAGAACATGATGCAATATAATATTTAGACTTAATTCCATTCAAAATGTCCAATGCAAGAATTTCACTTACCTTCTTTCTTCATCGTGTGTAATATGTTAAGCTAAATGTATTAAATAATATCTAAAATATCATAAATTACAATTTTATGAATCTTAATTCATTTAAAAATCATTTTTCATTTGAATAATGAATTATTTAAAAACCTAACCTAATACACGTAACAAAATAAATAGTTGAAAATATGACAATTGACATTTGACTACTATACACGTCTATTTTGGAATTTATCTATAGTCTGTTATTGGCGATGATTCTGACAGCAAGTTACTTAATTTCGCGCCAAAATTACGTTAGAAAATATAACATGAAAACAATCTATACAAGGAAAGCCCCACGGCCAAGTATTTATTATAATATTAAAAAAAGAGTTCGTGGGAAAGGAATTGTGTTTGTTTGTAGTAAATAGTTTAAAGGACAATCAAAATCAATCGCAGATATATTTTGTTCCTTTTTTAAATGCCTTCTTTAGAAAGGTGATTGAAATTTGAAAGGAAATCACTTGTAATATTTAACTAGTCAGTAAAGCAAACAGAAACAATAGATACTCGGAACTAAATAGTTCCGAGTTGTTTTATAAATCTTGTTACTATCCTCCATTCAAGGTTTTAGAATGCTCTATTATACGACTGTACATAAAGATGCAAGAAAATAGTAGGAAAAACACTAAAACATTTTATGTTCAAACTTATTGCAGCGAAAGTCATGGTCAATAGTGAACTGCCTTTTGCAAAGTAGCGATTAAAGTTATACGGGCGTCTGTATGGCTAAGACGTATCGAACGATTTTATTAATTTTGAGCGCGACACGATATCAACTCGCGTAGGAAAATGGGTAATTCGGCATCCCTTAAAGTTAACGATAAAAGAAAATGGCAGTAAGTTTATATCTCATTTTACCGGTATTTAAACGTTAACTAACCTATTTAGTGTGCATCTATTACTAACAAAATATGTAACTTTTATAGATACATATGTATTATATTATATACTATAAGTTCGCATGTATGTTTATAAATTATAGGCACTTAAATACGACATTGAAACATGTGATTCCTTGATAAGGAAAATCTAGATAGCACTTTGACACGAAGTAAACATTGTTGATAAAAATAATGCCATTAATATTACTAAATAGTTAATTACTTCAAGTTAGGTTTAAATAAATTTGTAAATAATAAAGGAAACATTCGTGTCTAATATTTTGTTGTGTAAATGTGTATTCGTCATATATTATGTTATTAAAAAAAGTTATTTGTTATGTTCTATAATTCACAGTTATCAAAAACTTAAATATATATGTTATATGAAAGTAATATATATTTTATTACTTTGGTTGCGCTGGTTTCTTACCGATTATAATAGAATACAATAGTATAAACAAAATAGTAAAATGTAAGCGTACAATATATATTAAGCTTTAATGTCGGTATTTCTCTATGAAAATCCCTTATTCTGCAGTAAGCCTACGCTTCGTTGGGACGTAGACCCTCTACGTACCTACGAAGCCCTTCGTACTACGTCTTTATGTTTTTTGAAGAAAAACATTTTGATATCGTCACATTTACATGTGTAACATAACAGGAATTATTACAGCAGAATGACAAAAGTGTGGTTTAACGTCATTCGAAGTCATAATATTGTGTTCGATAGCATATATTTAAATAAAACACTTTAACGGTTTAAAACGCGATATATTAGTTAAACTTATTTGAAAATGATTTTCTTGTTTCGGTTTTACACGTGGTGAACCCGTCTCCCGTGACCAGGTGCTGAAAGTAAAAATCATTTTCAAATAATTTAACTAATATATCGCGTTTTAACCGTTAGTTTATTTAAATGTTACTATTAAACTATAAAGTATTGATAGCATATGCCAACAACGCGTAAACACTTTGGAACAATGGCCGATGACTACAATTACAGGAAAAAGAGACAAACAAAAGTTAGGAAAACAGTGAAAACACGAATAGTTATTTCATTAAATAGGAGAAGTTTTATACGACCAGTTAATATATATTTAAATATATCATATCTTATTATTATTTTGCTTAGGTACTGTAGTATTTATTTAATGATACAATATATTTAATTCTCTATAGATTTATATTGTTTATAAGCCCCTTATGTCGAACTTATGTGATTTATAATTACTACAGTAGTACAGGTTTACCTGTAGGTAATCGTGGTAGTTTTTAATTTTACGATTTTTATGACATTATAATAAATACCGCCCCATACTTGAATTCCTACGTAGGTCTTCGTGTCTTCTAGGTCTTAGGTCTAGCGATAAATTGTATCGACGTGCTTTGAAACTTTTCAATAATTTAAGATGAGACCTAATAAGATTTTCTGATGGCACTATAGAAATTAAAAATTAATTATACACTAAACATAATTGGTTAGAGCAACACGCTGTGGACGCCGGTTCAAGTTCTGCCCGAGTCGTATTTTTTTCAATCTATAATCGATTTTTAATTTATTCAAAGAATATCTACTAAATTTTAAACTCTAATTTGTTACTTACGTGCATAACAATTAGAATATAACGTGACAGCGATATAAGTCTAGGCAATCCTTATAAATTAAATACTGGTACAAGTAAACAAGTTTAATTTGTTTTTTGTTATGAGTTCTGTTCCATTCTGTTATTTTTAGTGTTGACTAATAAAGTTAACTTGTGCCCAGAATATTAGGAACACGGTCATATTAAAGCGTGACGACCTTCACTTAGCTGTGAACAAGTGTCTGATCTTCGTAATGCCTAATGCCTTATAATCTGACAGAAGATAGAAAGTAGTAATTAAAAAATAAATAATACTTATAAATTATATATATATATATATATATACATAATTTATAAGTAATTTATATATATATATATATATTTTAAATTACATATATTATAGTAAAGTATCATTACTATTTATAATAGTTACGCTCCTCTCATTAAATTTGTTGTAGGATATAAATTTCTCTTAATATTTAAAATATTCTGTGGAGATATAACAATGATGCAATGACCGACACTTTTGCAACTTATTCACAATTACTCAAGTTGAGTAACAGTAATGATAGCTGGCCTATAAAACTGTAACGTTAATTTAGAAGCTGTATGTTTATATGTTAATTTTCATTTTCTACGAAATAATAAATTTATAATACTGACGTAAACGTCTGATAAAAAGTGGTGTCGTTTACATACAAATTAAAAAAATGAAAAGTAATAAAGCTTTATCAACAAAATATATATTATTTAATATTAATATCGTTATATGTTACACAATTAATGTATACGTAGTTACCTATAATATGACGAGTCACGACAAGTTGCTGAAAAATATGTTAAAATAATGAAAATTCTTATCTGAAGTAGCAACGAAAACAAAACTCGAATAACTTGACGCACTTTTTTAAAACATTCGATCTAATCATAATGTACAATTTTGTTGTGTCCCTAAAGACTATATTTGTACCTGAATGAAAGATCTTTTAAATTCAATAAATACATAATTAAAACGCAGCTTTGTTTGTGGTTAGCACACTCGACCCAGATCACGAGGTCCTAGGTTCGAGTCAGGTCGGGCTAAGTATTTGTTATGAGCGTTACTCCTCGAAGTGGAGGTAATCGTTAAAACCTGTCAACCGGCATTGGAGCAGTGTGGTGGGTCTATGCATCTAAACCCAATGTCCTATGGGAGAGGACAACCTTAACAGGTTCGAACAACATCGATACTCGTAATATCAAACTTGCTTATCAAAGTGTGATTTGTAAACAACTTCCTGTCACCTGTTCGATGTAGGAAGCTTGTCTGATTTCATTGAGAGAATAAAAAGTTGATTATGTCGGTCAACTGTATAACAAAGTTAAGGTTGAATAAGGTCGGTAAGGTTACTACTAACTATACCTTTATTATTGTTTGTTTTTAGGCGTAGCTAGGGCAAGTGAGGAGAGATTTAATTAGGTTTTAGATAGTGGATATTTTCTTTTTATTTAAGAAGTATCGTGAACGTATATAAATAAATTTAGTTTTTTTTCAAGACCTGTAATCAAGTATCAAATAATTCTGAAACGCGATTGCTAAGTCATGAGTTCGCTATCACGATAGTCATAATAATGCTACGTATAATTTCCATTCTGCCCTTGATCGCGTTCGAGGCACGGGGAAGTCACGATACGGTGCGTCTGCGCCGCATCTCGTGTTTTGATAACACCGCCTACTTTGTTTCATTTTATGATTATCTGCTCCCCGTGTATTACTTGATATTGCAAGTTCGCCTATTAATTATCACATTCTACCTATATTTTGGCCGTCTCGTTAGTGTTATGGTAGCATTGTATGTTTAATAGTACTCAACGTTCCGTGGGTTCGATTCTAATTTTCTCAAATATTCTAACTTTCGTCTAGAATCTTAATATCAAATGGGTGGTAGAAAATTCCGTCCGGATCATAAACTATTGTTTACATATAAAAAGCCGTGAAGTTTAATCGCGTTTCGGTTTCAGTCTGTGAATTTCCGAATATCCAAAGCCAAAATAGGTCGACTGCGCATCTTAAGTATCGTATCATCTCAATAAGTTTATATTAGTAGACAATATTATAACACAATTTTTATTTAGTTGTTGTGGTTTACTTGTTAATATATACATAATCATAAATCTAGGCCTGGGTAATTCAACATGAAGCTGTTAAATACATTAGATTAATGAATAGTATTAGTTCACATTCCGTCCAGCAAGCCCATTTTTTCTCTTCTTGACAGCAGTCATAAAAAAATTCAACATTGACAGTTTGATTGAAGCCATTTGCGTATTATTACCATAGTTAAAAAGCGAAACTTCAAAGTAAGATGGAGACTTCGTAAAACGATAAAAACGTTTACGATAAATGTCGTCTTATACAATAGAATAAAATTTATCGTTTCTAAATAGAATATTGTTTCAGAGCTTTGTCGATTTACTATATAGTTCTAAATAGTGAAAGGTTATTGTTCCGGTAACAGTAGCTGCCATGTAGTTACATATGCATTTTAAAGCCGCTGTATTTTGTCGTTCTTCGAAGATATCCAAACGACATAAAACATCAACCATTTCATAAAACGAAATAAGATTGATATTTTTGTATATTATACAAAAACTATTCTCAAGTGCTAAATATTTGAAAGTATATATAAAATCCGCTCAAGGAGTTCAACAAAGTGAAATCTTATCTTCGCGTTCCTAGGTCAATGTTTTGTTAAAATCTCAAAAATAAAAACAAAGATTTTGATTTCAATAAAATACTTCGACTGTCTCCCCTCGGTGGTCTCTGCGTGACCACGGCTGCTGCAAAACATCCGAAACGTCGGGCCGTAGTTAAAATAATTTCATAATTAATTTAACTAATACACATCGTGTTTTATACCGCTAAAGTGTTTTTATTTAAATGTGTACTACTCACGTAAACTACAGTTTTTAATAGAGAGTTTGAGTTTATCAAGCGCCATTACAATTATGCCTCGCTCGTTTCTCTCGGGCGAGAGGTTAAAAATCACGGCATGCTATGTTGATCAGCTTTGATAAGACATATCATCATATGCCAGTATTTAACGAGATTATCCCGGAAAGTTCCTCCAGTCGTCAATAAGAGAGCGTACGCTCTGTATGGCACTCTACAACTTTTATTGTGATACATAAGATCTTTTTGTAAAATGGAATTTTTATCGCGCAAAGTGAAATCAAATGGTCAACTTGACACACGTCATTTGAATGGCGCGACGGCTGGGCACGGAAATAAACGGTAAGATTCTTAGGTCTTGGCTAGTAGGAAATTGGATTTGCCGCTTCTAATAAGGGATTCGGGGTTGCATCTATAGGTATATCTGATAATGCAATCTCTTAATGTAACCCCAGCTACTGGGGATAGGTCTGATCTCTCATGGAAAGACCGTTTTAAAGCTTAGACCCATATAAATGCTTTATGTTTGTAGAAATTTAAGACTACCGCCACAAAAGATATAGATCTGCTTTTTCATTCCGAATTTATTAATTCTAAATTATTATTCCTCAAAAATTTGAGAAGTCAACATCAAAAAACTAACAGTGAGATAATATTAGCGATTCCCTTCGATGTTCGTTTACATTCATAGTCTGTAATCGATTCCCTGAACTGCAAACTTCGAGGGATGAAATTTACGATGAAATTTCATCCCTCGAAAAACGCCGACACTAGGTAGGCTTAATTTTTAAAAATAATTATCTTTAGGCTTAAGAGTCACCATTTTTTTTATTAACTAAAGACTTGTACATTCATCGATTACACTTAGCAAACTTCCCAAAAAATCCTCTAATATATTTTTTATGTAGGTTTGTCACGATCCATAAAGAGCGCTACACTCAAGCAAAGGAGAATTTGGTAACAATATTTATACAACTTTTTTTTTCGTGTAGCGTATTTTTAACATAGCGATAGAAAATTAAGAATCATCGGTTTGCAGTTTATCGCTATAGGTCATACGACCATAACTACATATCACGTTTTATGGTTGTAATTACATAACCTTTTGATAGGTAACTGTGCGGTAAAAAATCCCCTTATACCTACATATATTTAAAAGTCACTTAATAGGTGGAGGTTTATCATTTTTCAAGAGCGTACCATAGCTCATGATTACATCTGTCCCAGTGCAGCCTTATAATCAGGAAACTCGAATCTCGCAGAGGGTTTTAAGAAAACAGTTCAAGTTTTCATTTTCTTTACCAAAAATTTAAACAGATTAACGTACGTTATTCTCTTCTACATATTATTGTAAAACTAATTTAAATCATACGCACTGAAATTCTACACGTGTTAATTATGTATCATGTCTCTCAGTCTGAATGTAGGTTTTATTCCAGTTGCTAAATGACGTGCCCTTGCAAGTCAGACGGAGAATGTGTACTCGAGAGTAGAGTTTTTAGAAATAGGTAGGTTATTTTTAACACTTTGTATTTAATTTCATTTAAAATGTACTAAAACTTTGACTAAATAAGAAAGTATTATTCTTAGATGTGTTGTATATGGTTGATATTATTAGAAGAAATATTGTTTGTATGTACTTACTGTGTTTATATTTTCAATCATATTGGGTAGTAGAAAATATGAGATTATTAGAAATAATATCTTATTACTAGTTTATAAGTACATTTTGGCAAAACGGTTCTTCTTAGTAGACATCTATTTAAAATGTTGTATTTGCCTGTTATAAAAGCGATAAATTTAACACTATATTCCTGTGCTATGTCTAAAACTTAGGACAAAAATAAAACAATTCAATGAAATAGGTCAGAGAAATACAAAATGCATTTTATTAGGAACCGCTACACTATCTAACATCCAGGGTAACGACCTAGCGCCATCTCTTATCAGCGCGAGGTAACCACATCGCGGTTGATATCAGCGATGCGCTGAAAAATTTTCCCGTTTTCCCAGGAGCGAGACCGCGATGAGTCCAGCGCCCCCCTCGCCGCGTGACAAAAGTGCGGCACCATTCATTGCTGGCAAACAGTCGCTCGCCGCCATCGGAGGGAAGTGTACGTACGAAATGGATCGCGATCGCATCGGTGTTTGGGGCTCCGGGGACGGACAGTCCAACAGCCGTCTATCGGGGCTCGACCGCCTCAGGCACCCGGGGTTGAACAAGGTGAGTCGCTGGGTCCACTCTTTTACGTAACGTACGACCATCTTAGGTCATGGTTCTACTACAATACTATTTTGCGGAAGTGATATATCATGCTACAATTGTGCATGTGCTGTCATAACACTATATGTATAAATACGAATCATTGTTATAGGTGTCTTATCAAAGATCAGGCCACTGACATGCTGAATAATTCAAAACTGTCCATTCAATGGCTATTCAGGGTCACGTGGATGCCAATAAACTTTTAAATTATATTTAAATACGTTTCACAATCGTTAGTAAATATTGCTGTCAATTTAGACACTTTATTTTAATATTATGTAATAATTGTCAGGTAACTAAAGCGTCGACATAACTCATATGGGACGACCATAATATACCCCGCACAACTCATAATCAATAATGTCTAGCACTACAATTGTCCACCCTTAGCACCCTTCCCTTATAACAAAACTGGGTTAAAGACCCAAGGGTTAAGTCTAAAATGACTATAAGTGTAATTATTATAAATTTATAAATTTATAATAATTACACTTATAAGTTATAATTATGGGTGCAATTAAACTTTAAACCTCCCATAATTATTATAAAATAAATAAAAAAAAGAAACCAATTAAATTTACATTAGTATAATGCCTGAAGAAAGATTATAATAATTATGTTTAATCTATTTCATGTTGACTATTAGATGAGATGTTTGATGATGTATCTAAAATTGAAAATGATTTTTAATAAGTTTAACGAATATATCGCGTTTTAAACCGTTAAAGTGTTTTATTTAAATGTGTGCTAGTCGCGTAAACTATAGACAGTGTATAATTTATTTACAAATATTACAAATAATTTTACAAATAACTAAAAAATCCCTATATACGAAGAATGTTTGAAATCTCTTTTCGTTACATGTCATATTTAACATACAACGATGAAAGAATTATCTTACTTTATCGTGTTGAATTAATGGTTAAGACTTTAATTGAGTAATTAGAGGAAGAAAATTGTTAAAACACCACAAGGAAATAAACATGTTTACATGAGAGGACAAATAAATTGGTATTGTGTATTCCAGAATATGATGCGCTGAATATTTCCATAAGATTTCCCTAATAATATGATGCACAAGGTAGAAACTGTATATTGTTCTATTTGTAGGCAAACGTATAACTTTTTTTGTTCCCCGGGATTGGAATCTAAGACCTACTTGAAACTAAGGACACACCGTCTGTCAACGCAGAAATATACTTTTTAAACATTTGCGTTAAAAATAGCCGATTTAAAAAATACACGAAAGAAAAAAAATCTAATTTCTGTCACCTCAAATAAAAACCTCCACTGTTTGTAGTCCGTAATCGTAGACAAATAAACTAAGTACAAACAAAGTCTTTAAATAAAACATATAACAATTTATTTGAGAATGTAATTTCCCTAAGATGTCGCTTTGATAAGCGCCCAAATATTTTCCTTTACGTTTAATTCAGGCGTTATTGACTTTTGGGAATAAGAGGAAATTGAATTTTCATTGAACCATCTTTTTGTTGTTTTGATGTATACATTAAACAAAATGTCTAAAGTTACTCTAAAGTCTAAACTGTTTTCGATTTATTCATTATTATCAAACCCTGAAAGATAAGGTAGGTTATATATCCAAACTCATAAATTCAGATTGTAACAAGTCATTGCTGATAATTAGATACTTGAACTGTAATTTTATCGATCTCGGCAAAATTCACTATTCAGCCTGATTAGAAAATTGTAATATAACAGTGTTATCTAATCGCATTGTATCTGCCGATAAAGCCCGATTTTAATTAGATATTATAGTTGCTGTGGATACCAGATAATGGGTAGGCATTGTTGGGATCAAGTTTTCACAGTTCTCGCTTGTCAGTTGATGGTAGTATTACATTTGATCGTCTTATTTCCTACTCCTGTTGACACTCCACTAGCACCCGGTGCATCAGAATTAATTCATCCAAATCACAGCTGAGCCATCTGGTGCGTGCAGAATGTCAACGTTCAAGCCTACCTCGAATCTTAGTAATTTCTAAGAAGCGTCCGCACGCTACTTTAAGAATTAAACTTCCCATCCAAATTTACTGGTGGCGAGGGCCACCCACTACTCCGCATCCGTCAATCCCAGTTGGAAGGGGATCTGAAAACGTCTCCATCCACGTCTTCGTCGTGGTCGTGGATCAACGCGGCATCCACTTGCACTCATCATTCCTGTTTGTGGGTGAAAGCGTCCCTAGTAGCGCGTACCCTCAGCCGGGTCAGCGTTTCTCCAGCTCTTCAAGCTCACTCCCTCACTTTAAATGGTTGATATCGAGACCAATATCCCTCTTGCCAACCCTCGGTCAAGCCGACACGGCGAGCGCGATCATTATTCCCCAAACATGATCCACAAAACAATTTTATTAATTTGATTTTGAAGCTAAAGAAAGCTTCAGGGACATTTGTTTAATAGCCGTTTTAATGAAAATCGTTGACGCCAATTAAGTTACTTCAAATACGAAATGACGCGCCATTAATTTGGCTCGTAAACAATTTATCTTCTTACGTAAATTTATTCGTAATTTCAACAACAGTTTTTAATTGGATCTATAATATCTACTTACGTTGTATAGGATTTTGTATAGTCTGTACTTTAAGAAATGTCTCAGTGTTTTAAACTATTTTCTCAATAGAAAGCACTAACGTCTATCTCGTTTTATTCCCCGAAGAAAAAGCCCTAACAATATATGTGATAGTGCTGTCGAGAGGAAAATAGGGAATTGTTCGTGATTGTGCTTTAGAGCGTTTGTGAAGTGGAAAATGGAACGTGACTGGTGGCAGCTTACTCCTCGTCGCGAACTGTACTCCGTACCGGATTGCTTGGCAGCTCATGACTCACGGGTAATTCCGTATTGTATTGCAAAATGTTAAACATACTTTGCTCATACATTTTTACACGAGAATATTGGTGAATTTTTGCAGGTATGTTCCTAAAGCTCCTATAGGCCGACAGCGCATCTTATTGTGATGTTAAATGGCTGGGGTGTTTCGCCTTCTATCAAGTAAATCCCATGTTTTACTGTCCTCCTCTATAATAAAAAAATGTGTAAATTTTAAAGGTGTATATAACATGTGCAAGACAACGAAATAAATGTGCGACGTATGTCAAACGATTGTAATTGAGACTTAAAATACCAAAATATGCTTTCGAACAAAACAGACTTGCTTTTAATAATATCAGGTATTATAAAATAACAATTATTTGGACATTTCTTATATTAAAATAAACCCCTCCTATTATTTTATAGGTAAGAGATCAGACGTATCAAATTACATTACTTGATCCATTATTGAATCAACCCACGTTAAGCCTTATTTCGCAGACCGTTCTAGTTCTAGAGATTATAGTAGAAAGGAGTATTGCGTCAAGTTAATTGTCGACAGACCCACTACGTCAGAGAGCCGTGCCTCCACTTGTACTCACTTTGCATATTAAGCAATTGTTTGAATACGTGACGAAGCATTAAATTATATACAGTAAGCGCAAATGGACTGTAGTTGGATCTGTCATTTTCGTACGTGAAAATGTTGTCTTGAATTGCTACAAGGCTTTAATCTGCTTGGTATATGAAATCCCACGTAGGGAAGGCACTTCTGAGTCTTCTGGGTTGCTTCCGACCTGACTTAAAATGTATGAACTCAATACATGCAACGTTTCGTTCTCATTCTATTATTTCGTAGGAATTTAAGACAACGTACTTATTTAACTTGCAGCACCTTCGTTTCAACAACTACGGAAAGTAAGACGCACATTTGAATTCTTAATGAGCGTCAGATTCATTCCACATTGTACCTATCTACAGTAATTTTTTACGGTTGAAAACGCGAAATATATTAGTGCAACTACGACACGATGTATTACAGCAACCAATTTTGATATCTATTTGCGATTTGATGTGGCAAAAAAACATTGTTTAAAACCCAATGATACCGGCCTTAAAAACTTAAAATCAGTTTAAAGTATTGTGTATACCCACTCCATAACCCGTTGATTATTGACCCGATATTTTGTTCTTATTCGATTCATATAGTTTACCCGAATCGAATATTCCCCATCGATTTTTGACACACAACCTGTTTATTACATTACAGTAGCACTATTTTTACGCATTCTATTATTAATTAATTTGAACCTATACATTTCTATATATATAACCATTTTTATTACATTTCAATGCTTCGTAAATAATTCATTTCTTAGTCGTTAGCTACGTTCTTATTAACGGTGACTGTCTTGGCCCTTGCCTTTCCAGACTAAACCAATTAATTTGTGCCCAAGAGCGAGGTTATTTAGATCATTAGGAGCGTGTGTCTTTTGACCTTAAATGCATACTAATAAATAACTATTGATATACCAATGTCGAGAACTAACCCACAACTACTATACGCTCGAGGCATAATGGACTAATCTTAATTAATAAAAGTATCTATGTATCATAAATTATTACTTGAACAGAGAAGATGACGTATTGACATAGAAATCCTGTATTAAACATTGTCTATGTCTACATTCTGTACTTCATTTTGTGACCGAGGATAGCTATAGATTACGTAAAATTAGTTTTTCTAAAGTCTCCTTCTTAAGAACTTCGCAGATTTAAAATAACAAATAAAATTATAATTATAATAAGAAAGAGAAAAAAATACGAATGTATATTAAAAAGCACGTAACATCTGTAACGTTATATTGTTCTTGTTATTTTTAATTGTAATTTCACGATACTATCCTCATTTCTCTAAAAATCGAATCCAAACCAAACTTTGCTTTTCTTATATAATCAGATATGAAAGGTCCGTCAAATCAACTTTTCTCAACATCGATTTGTGAATACGACTACCAAAGGTCACGTACGGTCACCTTGATGACGACACGCGAACAGCTGACAGTATCTAGCACTTCCGTAAGGTGTACTCCGCACGCACTCTCCGCTGTAGATTCAAGGACGCACTTACCTGTGTTGTGCTTAAGTGGATTAGAACACGTTATGTTTCTGAGAAATTCGAATTGTAATTCCAAATTCAATTTCCTAATCAAATAAAACAAGAACTTTAAGGTAATTAGTTTGAGGCAATTATTAAAATTAAGGACTAGAATCATTCTTGAAATATAAATCAGTCGCAATTCTAAGACGATTATCAAATAATTATAAATAATAATCATATCACACGCCTATTTAGCTAAAAAGTTTCACGAACAGTCGTTATTCTAGTTTATAAAGAATGTAGTATTCCACAATTATTGCGATACGTGGTTAACGCGCTGTTTACATTATTAAGTTGTTGTCTATGTGTATTCTCAAAACAGCGCTAAATTTCCACGCACGATTTGAAAATGGAAATTTCCTGATAACAGCCCGCACCTATTACTTCCGTTTATTCGTAAACAGTAAACAAAAATTGTTTGCAGCTAACCTATTTATAATAGTAAGTAAGTTGCAATTTAAATATTTACAAGTGTCACCCATAAAAGTATGCCATAGAGTATAAAAATAAAAACAATAATTATTGAAATAGATACATTGAAAAATATTTATTAAAATGTTTTTTGACTTATACAACTGTTACTTATATAATTCATCCTCAATTTCAAATTATTGGGCGGGTACGAATTCCCGTGACGGTCTCGAAAAATAATGATACAAATACTTTATCACAATTAGAAGTCTTTACTTTTGTTAATGTTGACATTATGTAAACAACAAACAATTCACAATATCTTTTCTTTATAGGGTATGGCGTTTACTCTCGAGGAACGTCAGTTGATGGGAATCCACGGTTTGCTACCCCCCAGGGTCAAGAGTCAGAAAGAGCAGGTAAACCTCTGCAAACTTTCCATTGAGAGATACGAAGACCCCCTCAACAAGTATATCTACCTTATGGGATTATTGGTAAGTCATTTTATCATTTTAGAATTCCATATAAAGCATAGAGAGATAACTGATTGTAGTAGAATGTTTTAAGTCATGTCTATTCTTTACTTACCTATTCTACGACTATTCGTCTAGTTAGGTATAATGTAAGTTGTACTGTCAATATATTTAGTGAGAAACAATAAAAAGCTTATTATAAGCATATTTGCGGTAAAGGAGCATTCCATTTGCAACATTCTTTTTTTTTATAAAATACTTTAACTGTCACGGGGAGACCACGGCTGCTGCAAAAAATCCGAAACGTCGGGACGTAGTTAAAATAATTTTCGAACAAGTTTAATTAATATATATCACGTATAAAACCGTTAAGGCGTTTTATTAAAATGTGTACTACTCGCGTAAACTACAAGACAATATTTAAGATTGTTATTACTATAACCTTTCCTAGGATCGTAATGAGCACCTTTTCTACCGCTTCGTGGGTGAAAATGTAGCAGAGATGATGCCCATCGTCTACACCCCGACCGTGGGTGTGGCCTGCCAGAAGTACGGGCTCGTGTACCGTCGGCCTAGGGGACTTTTCATCACAATTCATGACAAGGGACATATTTACGACATTCTTAAGAACTGGTAAGTATTATTATAAGATCGATTCTCTGAGGGCTGGTTCAGTGCATTGCGTTTAGTGTGAGAAGTTATACGTTCGAATTTTGGAAAAGATAATAAAAATTGTTTGGTAAAGACATGTGTGTGCCCCATGCGTTGGGAAGATTTTACTAGCAACAATCAATAAGTTGTTGAAAAGAAAATAGAGGTTCATCAATTATGAAAAAAATCTTAAGCTTAAGTAATATTCCTCCACAATCTAAAAAGGCTATAGTTATACTTAACTTGGTATGAGTTTGTATGACTGAAGTGGGTTTGAAGACTTGTACGAATACAAAAGGAAAGTTCCTCTGAATAGAATCTGATCTAATATGTATGCCTTTGTCAGACCTTTGTCAAAACTTTGTTTAGAAGAGAAAAAGATAAGGAAAAGGTTATATAAATGTGTTTTTTTGTAATCTATTGACACTGCTTGGATATAGAGGGTAGAAATTTTACCACTAAAATCATAGAGAAAATTATTATCAGGTCCTTATTTTCTTTGAGATCTTATAATGTACTTTGACTTATAGTAAGTAATACGCTAAAATTTATTTGGATTGAAAAATATTTACGACACGTGTGCGACTTAACTTTGGTTAGAGAAGCAGCAACGCTGCGGAGGCCGGTTCAATGCCCGTGCCGTAAACCTTTTTCAAGTTTTATTTATATAATTATATAAAGCTATGAAAGTTATGAAATAGTGTAGTATAGGATTAATTGCTGACAAATAAGTGTTAAATTAAAATCTATTTTATTCGTTAAAATGTAAATAAAAATAATTCAGGATTACAGTCTAGAATCTATATAGACCCGTAACCTTTTGTATTTCAGGCCTGAAACAGACGTCCGAGCGATAGTGGTGACGGATGGTGAGCGCATCCTGGGTTTGGGAGACCTCGGTGCGTGCGGAATGGGGATTCCAGTCGGCAAGTTGGCCTTGTACACCGCTTTAGCTGGCATCAAGCCTCATCAGTGCTTGCCTATTACACTCGGTGAGTAAATATAAGCTTTTATAACTTAACTGTTTACACCGTCTATATAAGGTTCGACTTCCACCTGTATCATTTATTTTTTTATAACATATTTGCTCGTAAAGTGGATGTAATTACATCAATTTCAATATCGTAATGTATCTCATTACGTACTTGTGCGATAATGTAATGTAAAAGGCACGTGTTTTTTTTTTCTTAGCAAATAGGTTTTATGTCAAGAAAGTGGTCAATATTTCATGAATAAAATTAACTTTGGGAAATAAAATATAACAGATAAACATTTAATTCTTTAATTTAATTAATTTTGACAATAAATTACAACCATTTATCTATAACAAAAACACAAAAATATTAATTTACTTTATTAGTAATACTGGCTGTTTTTGTACCTTTGCCTAAAAAAACGTTGATCGCATCGCTTATTTGTGGACAAGTAAACATTTGTATAACTACTTTAACAATTAATTAAAGATTTATTCGTTTAACTAAGTCTTATTAATTTCCTCGTAAATATGTTATAAAACGTCGTATGACATACGTGCGCTTTGAAAATGACTGCCTCTGCTTTCTTATAGTAATATCGCCTCGGCTGTAATTTTCAACTTACCGCACTTATATCATTTCACTTACGAACTAATATCCCGGCCATATAACGTTGCACCAAGATACGTTGTGGATCTATTTCGGCATGCATGGATTGATTCCGAAACAAAAGCACACTCTTTGGCTTTTGCATTTGTAGACGGTGTTTCGAGACCCGAATTGAATTTTGATATCCTACCACCCGTTTAATATCGAGTTTTCCAAACAAAGTGCAACATGTTTCAGAACAATTATAAATCGATTAAAAACATTTTGTCCCCGGTGGGAACCGAACCCACGATTTGTCTATTGGCCATTGCTACTAGTAGACAACGAGTCTTATTTTCTTATTTTTTGTTCAAGATGTCGGAACCAACACTCAATCTATGCTGGACGATCCTCTGTACATCGGCCTGAAGCAACGACGCGTCCGAGGTGCAGCGTACGACGAATTCATCGACGAGTTCATGCAGGCTGTCGTGAGACGCTTCGGCCAGAACTGTCTCATACAATTCGAGGACTTTGGCAACGCCAACGCCTTCCGTCTGCTGGAGAAGTACCGTGGCAAGTGAGTAGAAACATTTAGATTACCTGGTCTTCTAAAAATGTATGGCTAATAATCAACGGGTCGTGGGTTGAATCCCCACCAGGCCCCCACATTTCTTAAACACGGACTTCGTATGGCAATCGGGATACTAAATGGGTAATAGAAATATCGAATTTCTATCTGGGTCACTGTCCGCAGATGAAAAAAATCCGTGCAGTTTAATCGCGTTTCGGTTTCAGCCTGTGGATTTCTGAATATCCAAAGCCAAAATAAGTCGCCAGTGTGTTTTCCGGATGTTTAGAAGTTATATGGCTGGTGTTTCCTAGGATCAAGGGAACTACATGCTTGTCTAAATACTGTCTATAGTTTACCGTTAAACTGTTTTATTTATACATGCTTGTCTGTCTTCCTTTATTAAAAAATATAAAAATTTAAAATTGTTTGCAGATACTGTACCTTCAATGATGACATCCAAGGCACCGCAGCTGTAGCGGTGGCCGGTCTCCTCGCCAGCTTGAGGCTAACAGGGAAGAAGCTCTCTGAAAACGTCATTGTCTTCCAGGGCGCTGGAGAGGTGTGTTGTTGGTTTCGAGTTGAATGTTCATATTTTTACGACACAGAAGCTGTATTGTGTTCTGTTTAATTTGATAATTTTCTTTAACTAGTTGTAATTTTCTATTTATAATTTTGCCAGGCATCGTTGGGTATAGCTGAATTGTGCGTGATGGCAATGAAGGCGGAGGGCACGGACGAGGCAGTTGCTCGCGACCGCATCTGGATGGTGGACTCGAAGGGGTTGATCGTTAAGAACCGTCCCGAGGGTGGACTCAATGAACACAAGGAGAGATTTGCCAAGAACCACGCCCCCGTTCGTACGTTAGCTGAAGTTGTGAGCGTGGCTAAGCCCTCTGTGTTGATCGGTAAGTTTATTATAGGCTATTTGACTAATTCTAAAATGTGTTATATAAAAGAAACCCCAGAAAAGTAGTTCTGAATTCTGATGGATTGCGTTTTTTTTAACCAATCATTATCTTTAACTTATGTGGCTGTTTTATATTTTCCAATTATCGAAAAGCCCACTCCAGGATTCAATACAGCGCGCCGTTTATCGGGGATTTGAAATTCGCCTGAAACAGTTTTTGCAGTGCCCTTTCTTTCATGGTTCTCTTTTTTTGTACGAAGGTGCTGCTGCAATCGGCGGGGCATTCACGCCGGAGATTCTGAGGTGCATGGGCGAGTTCAATGAGAAGCCGGTCATCTTTGCACTCTCGAACCCGACCAGCAAAGCGGAATGTACAGCGGAGGCCGCTTACTCCAATACCGATGTGAGTTTATCATTCCTGTTTCGATCAAGTTGTCAAAGACCAAGATGCTAAAAAATTGTGAACAGTTCCAGCCGTGAAGATGAAAGCTTAAGCAAAATTTAACGTCAATATAAATTTTTCCTTCGGCAAAAATGTTTCCCTATTTTAAGATTTACGGAAACTAATTGTTGTATTTGTAGTCTTCTATCTGTGTAGTAATTTGTAATCATTTTGGTATCCTCTCATCATATCATTATGATTTTATTTGTTCACATTTAGATTAGATCTAATTACTATTCACTTTGTATGCTCAAACTTTATTTGCATGTCGTGTATCTATATTTGCACATTAGCTTAATTATGAAAAAAAATCCATTTAAATAAATCACTTTAACGGTTTAAAACGCGATATATTAGTTAAACTTGAAAATGATTTTTAACTTCGGCCCGACGTTTCGGATGCTTTGCAGCAGCCGTGGTCACGGAGAGACGTGTCTCGCCGTGACTAAGTTTGAATAATAGGTATATCGCGATTTATTTAAATGTGTACTACTCGCGTAAACGATAGACAGTATTTAAATTTTCAATCGTATAGTGTTTAAGCCATGACTGTTATACGTATAGTTTAGTTTTTGTAGACCTTTAGAAAAAATGTGTTTTTAGGATCGTGCGATTTTCGCCTCCGGTTCACCTTTCCCGGAGTACAGGACGAAGGACGGTCGCGTCCTCAGACCGGGCCAGGGAAACAACTCCTACATTTTCCCCGGACTTGCATTGGGTATTATCTGTGCTGGTATCGTTGACATCTCGGAAGACTTCATGCTGCTCGCCGCTGAGGTATTTGTATACTTTTTTCTATCGCATTAGGTGTAACCTGTTATGGTTGAAGTTTTTCTTAGTAAATAAATATTCCAATATGCTTTGTCTAATGTAAATATAAGAACAAGGCTAGTTGTAAGCGATAGAAAACATATAATTTAGCTTTCAATACATAATAATGTAACTTTTTATTTGCCAATTACGAAAAGGTGGTTAATTTCTAGGCTCTTGCTGAAATAGTATCAGACGACGACTTGAGTCACGGCAGCCTGTACCCGCCCCTGAAGGACATTCAAAATTGCTCAGTCAAGATTGCCAAGAAAATTGTGGAACACGCCTACAAAACTGGTGAGTTTCAGATACTTTTGAAATTTGTATTTATTTGTTTGTAAAAAGGTGTAAAAAAAAATGTCTACTTTATAGTTTTAACTCGCCATAATTACTTCATTGTATGATATGAACCGGCATTCACAGTGTTCCGTGCTGTTGCTCAAACTACTTGAGCTACCGCGTCTTCGTCGAATTTACCTGTAGTATTATCTTTTGAAAACTTTAATATTTCACACATGATTTTTTATCTATGTGCTAAGTTTTCAAACGGATGAAATCTACATGAAACATTCACAAAAACGAAAACTACCTACATATCATTATACAATGGTAATAACTAATTGATATAGCTACACTCTTCATCTGAAACCAAGATTAACTATAATCCTCGAACCAGGTAAAGCATCAGTGCAACCGCAACCGATAGACACCGAGGCCTTCATCCGAGCGCAAATGTACGACGTCAGATACTCGTCAGCCGTTCCGCCCGTCTACGGCTGGGACAACGACGAACCGAATGTGCAACAGATGTAATATCTATACGCACCCACAAATCGCTCGAAGTTATTGAAGATACGACTTTAGTACCGACTCGCCTCTTTATGACGGTCTAAACATTTTAGATTTTAAAAAGGAGGACATGCAGAAATCTTATCTATTTTAAAAAGATATATATAACATCATTTGAATTTAAAAGATACATTTCCTTCAGCAATTCCACTATCAAAGGTCCCCTCTTTTGTGCCTATCATTTCTCGCGCTAATTTTATAGTGTTACTGTCTTCTTTTAACTAAATAATCCGTATTATTACATATAAATACTATTTCCGACTCAATATATTGTAAGAAGTGGTTCCTAAAACATTTCATATTCATATGTTAGGTCTAATATAAATATATATTCACTAAATCTCTAACTGCGCCCACGCAGTTGAAGAAATAATGCGAATTATTTACGTCCTTAAAGTGTCTGTCATTGTATATCTATTAATATTTGATATTTTAATAGCTGTTTTAAAGAGGTCGATGTAACGTGCTTATTTATGTTATTTAAAATTATGGTTATTTACTGTGATATTGGATATAGTGGGATTTCGAATATTGCTTTTAAAGATTTAACACAATGTAAGATTAACATTCCAAGTATTAATATAACTGAGAAATACAATATGAAAGTTCAATTGATTTAAAGCGAGCATTCTAGTAACCAAATCGCTGTGTTATATCTGAACATTAGTGCAAATCACGTTAACACTATTTATTTGCTAAATGTTAGAGATGTATTAATTTTACGAACGACTGCAATTGTATTTGTAAATTTTTAATAAATGTATTTACCAAAAACATGGTTTTATTCTGTATACCGGTGTTGGAAACTCAAGTAACAGCGAAACGAAGTGTGAAGTTAGCGCGTTTCGACCGGAGTCTGACCGACTTCAGTTCGGAGCCGATAACAGGTCTCTAGAAACTTTCCTACGTTTCGTTTTAGTTTTTTGCTTTGAAACTCTAAGAGAGTACATCATCTCGAAATTGGTAATATGTAATGGCCATCCATGCTAAGTCTAAGCTAAGTAAAATTAGATTTATTGTGAATACATATACATTGCTTCAACTTGCGAAATGTATATATACATTTGAGAATGCTCAGTTAAGCAGAAACCGGCTTTGGGTGGCCATTTCAAAGGATTTGTAATAAAAGCACAGGTTAATAAGACCGAATGTCTTTATTTCAATGTTTCGTTTTTATAAATACAAATTGAGAAGTACCGATTCACAACAAAAAATTACCTAAATAATTAATGTTCGATAAAATATATCACTTATCACTTCATAATGTACAAGTTTATTATACATCGCGCCGCCTCGACGCGGCCTTTTCATAGAGGTTGTGAAGTCACTCGCGGTCGCGTGAGGCGAGGCTGCCTCGGTTGGACGGTGACGTCACGGCGGAGCGAGTGAAGGACTGCGCGCGCGCTGCCTCACCTGCTCAGCGAGTGCGACCGCTCACGAGAACCCGAACTTTCGCCATTGCACCGCGCGCGGTCATTGCCTGGACATACATATGTTTCTTTATTTTAACTGGAGACATTCCTTTTTAAAATCTCTACGAAGTACTTCTACAGAATCATGGGAATTTTGGTAGTCACTTCTAGTCTTACTTGAATATATTGTTTAATCTAATCCTTTTTACATAGACGCGATGCTCTCGTAATATCAAAGACAAAGATGGACATCAATAAAGAAGCGTAAAAAAAGAAATTAGTACTGTTACTACAACAAAACTGCTTGTAAAATTGTGTAGAACCAGTTTAAAAACCCGTTTACTATGGAATCTTTGTAACGACGACCTGCTAAAAAAAGTTACTTAAATTAATGTAGATAACATGCGACACAGTTAATGAAAACAACTCTAAAATAGATAACATAAGAGATCGTTATTAACCGTAAATAAATAAGCCCAAATGTAATCACACTGACAACACAAATTAATAAATAAAGGTCATGTCACACGATGTGTTGATAAATATAAGCGTCTAACAAACAGTGCGAATGAGTTCTGACCTAAGATATGATGGCCTTGAAAACTGGGGTCCTATAACAAATAATCCAGGATCACTATTATTGGAGATAGTTGTTGCGAAAGCTCTTCACTACTAACTTAACTAGGACTTTTTGACATGGCTGAAGTTTTATCATGAAAATAAAATTCGCATAACGTTAAGTCATGCCGAAAAATTGCAAGAAATTTGCAGCGAGTATTTCGCACTAACAGAACGAAGTACAATAAACAGAGCCGATATTTTCTAATATTGTTAAGGTACTCATTACCTTCTACCATTTTATATTTATTGCAACAATACATTCATTTAATAATTGTTTAATTTTTGAAATTAAATAATCTATCACACAGCAGCCGATAAGACTTACAGTTAAATTGATTAAGTATTTAGTAGGAACGTGTTAGAAAAGCCATGTTCCATCTTTCATTAATCCAATGCTATCTGACTCTGAATCTGACTATTTTCACATAACAAAGAAGTGGTTTCTCAGTTAAGAAGTTGCAGTGAATATTGCTTTACCTAGCCTCTGGTGTGGCGGTAGTTTGCTGAAGAAGGGGTGTTTGAGCGCCTCACGTAACGTGATACGTTGCGAAGGCTCGTAGTCAAGCATACGCGCGATCAGTTCGAAGAGTTGTCTCTGTTCTTCACTGTTGTTCTGCATATATCTCTGTAAACACACATAAGACAGCATGAGAAAAATAACAGAATTGAAATAACATCTTGAAGACTTAATCGAACGGATAAAATTAAACACTCACCAATAATGGTTTACAATTATCCCTAACGTATCTGCCGGCCGACGACTTTTCGTCCCAATCTAGTTTACCGTGATAGAAATATTTTGTTCGTGTTTTCCTCGCCATTCTGTGGTAAATAAATTTTTAGTTATTATTGAGAGTTTTAAGTAATAAAATGGTCACAACTCCAATCAAATAATCAAGCTCGACATACTTGTTAAAAGCTTATAGTCTACAGAGTGGCGTAGCGTTTCAACACTGAAGAATATCAGCAAAAAATAAGGATATACCTGTAGGGGATTGGTCCGAGGATCCTCTCCATCATAGCGAGGTGTTCCCGATTGTCATGTGTTTGGAAGAGCGTAATGCCGAGGTGGAGCTCGAACATTATGCACCCGATTGACCACACATCGCACGGCTGCGACCATCCTAACTCTGCGACAAATACAAGTCATTAAATAAAAAAATTCACACATAATCGAAAATATTTTTATAATAAGCTAATACAAATATTTCTCAATTACGACGGCTGAACAATTTAGATACTAAATTAGCTTTGCAAATGTCAAAAGCCTTAATAATCTTCATATAATTTTTGAAAAAGAGGTGTTCTCTAAGAGTTAAATTTTACCTAATATAACTTCTGGCGCTCTATAGTGTCGTGTTGAGACAATGGTGCTATGGTGCTCGTGGTCAAATGTGGCGCTTCCGAAGTCGATCAAACGAACGTCACTACGTTTCACTCGACGCAACTCGTGTTTCTGAAATTGTATGCAATGAGAGCATTAAATCAAAATATAATTTAAGCAACATTATGTAAATCCAATAATAGTTTCGAGAATAAAACAGCCTATTTATTTTGATGTTTAAAACGTATGTAACTAAAACTTGTATTACGGAGTGCTTGAAAAAGAGGGCTACTAAAATAAATTTCTTATTTGACAAAGGAATCAAACATTACCTTTATTGTTCAACTGAGGTTATGATATAATCTGTTATAGAACAGTTTTTTTATAAGAATGGTTCTGCTAGGTTATACAGGATAGTGTCAACAAACCTTCTTAGAGCTACTATATACAGAGACGAGTTCATAATCGCTATCGACGAAGAGTATGTTCTCCGGTTTGAGGTCAGTGTGCGTGAGCTTGTTGTCGTGCAAGAAGAGCACGCTGTATATCAGCTGGTATGCGATGTGTCGGACGTGCTCGAGCGGGTACGGCTGGTAGTTGTTGTCTTTCTGAAAACGATAAAAAAAGTTACCAATAGGGCGAAAAAGGCCGTATTCAGAATTGATAGTGTGGGTGACTAATTATAGAAATAAACACTATCATAAATGATAAGAATATTCTCGTCTATAAAAACGTGAATACGAACTCGAAATAAAACAAAAGGTAATCAATCAATCAAAACAGTTCAAGATGAAAAATGTATAAACGTAAAATATGTTTGCTCCACGTTTCCATTAAAACAATGTTTAACTCAACCACGTCTACATCTAATTCCGTTGCAATGTACAGGTTTATTGTTAGAAAGTAGTATTGTTATGGCAGCTATTGTTAAAATGTGATGTTTAACGCAAAGGAATGTTCGGATATATCTCAACAAAGAAATATTCCGTCGTAACTAAAATAAACATACAACGTTTAGATTTTATAGTGTCTTTACGTATCGTTGCATCCGAGGTAATGTGGCGTTTAGAGCGAGTATTTTGAGACCGTTCTGTACAAAAATATAAGACGGTATGCGCTGACGCAAACAAATGATGCACTCACCAGGAAGTCGAAAACGCTCTGTCCGAGCATTTCAAACGCGATGCACATGTGCCCGTGGTACTCGAACCAGTCCAACATTTTCACACACAAACTGAAACACACAACGAATGACATGAGTTAATGCCACTTTAAAGTGGTTCTAGAGCTTTTTATTCTTATTTTGGGCGTCGTTAACTACATTTGAAAAGAATAGCAGTAATCGATTGTTGAACGATGTAAACCTGACCCCTTTGACTTGAATTGAATTAATTAAATGCGATAATTGATAGCTCTCTGTTAAGTTGGTCAATTAATCGCGAATTGTCCATAAATACCGTTACAAGGCTAATGAAGTAATAATGGTGATAAATATGAAATTCTTCGCTAGTTTAATGCGAGCGTCGGACGTATTTTTGCGTTTTCGTTGACATCGAGTTCTTCGTTGGCCGAGCGCCAGCGCCGGCCGTAACGTCGCATATAATCGTGCAAGGTCAGATATTGCTACATTCGCGCGCTGATATAGCCACTCTAATGTCAGCGAGATTAATTTATATACGATTTTTATGGCAACATCTAAGTTAAGTCTAATCTAATCTATGCTAAGTCAGACGCAAGGGGATGACGCGATAAACATGCAAGAAAAGCCAGACTTCCACTGTTATGCGCTTATAAATACGTGCGGGTCAAATTTCCTACATAAAAACAAATGTCAGGGTTAATCTCTATTTGGTATTTTTGGAGGCAATTTTTATTAGCATTAAAACAGGTTCTTCGATCACTTGGCATGGAAAAAGGCCAAAATCACCAAGTAAACAACTACACTCACTTCTTACAATCGGGATCGATATCCGCCAATTTCTCCAATACGTTAATCTCTAGTTTCGCAGCCTCTCTGTACTTCTCGACATTCTTAATAATCTTCAATGCCATTCTGTGCTCCCTGGAAACAAAATTGTGGAGGCATTAATAAAAATTATATGCAACATTATCGGTGGTACATTTACACGTTAGCCGTATATATGAGACGTTTATAAGATAATGTAAATATGGGAATATCTCCTAAGACTGCTCGAGATAAGGTGTCAATAAAATTTTGTAAATAGTAACTGCATTAAAGTGACAGATTGTTTGCTTGAGATAAGGCGTATTGCATTGCATCCTAAAATTATCTCTCACCTATTAATCACAGTCTGGAGTGATTGAATTAAACATTTCATGCAAGCACTCCAGTTTGAAAAAACATTTACTAAAAATTATAAAAATTGTATTTATAGTACAAATACGTATGCGTATGCGTGACGGTGACTCAAATTTTATTCTGTGGTATCTCTCTGTAGTTGTTTTTTTTTATCAGGAGTTTCCCGGACGATAAACGGATATATATTTTCGTGTTGTAACAAAACCGCGACGAATATTCTGGGACGACGAAAACTTAGCATAGCAAAACAGATATGATTCCTGACGAAGTAAGTGCAGGTATTTTAAGTAGCTATACAAGGATGAATAATACGCTATAGTATTTTGTACGGTACACTTAAGTAATACGATTAGTTTGATAACTTTGAACTCTTAAAGGTATGGAAAATAAATCTACTCACATTTCCAAGTCCTTCACTTCCACCACCTTGCCGAATGTGCCCTCACCGAGCGTGTCGATGATTTTGTCTGAAATTAATTATAAAAACGTTATTGCTCTGTCTTATAACCAAGTCATGATAGAGAATCCATTGGTTTACGAGTGTAACATAAAAATAGATATCAACAATGTTATGTAAACAAAATCATACAACGATACATAATAATATATTGCGAAACCAATGCTTTTAACTCTAACATGACTTCCACTGTCAAAACGGCCGTAGCGCTGTTACCGAGAGAATTTAAAACTGAAACAGCGTTGTGGAATCTCATCACTCACGAAAGTCATAAGTGGACTGATGATAGGGTCATTAAAAATTGGGCAGTGTTACTAACTGTATAGTGTCGTCGTATGATTATGGACTTAAAACAGTTCCAATGAAAGAAATAACTGTGGTGTGTAAACGAGTGTAGAGTGTATGATGTGTGCGTTTGAGTGTGTGGTGTTACAATACATAAAGCCGGTTATAGTTATGTTGTGGACACGAACATCTCGCTCCCATGACATATCCGGGCCAGTAGACCAGGTGGCCATCCTTGTCGTCCTTGACGGAGGAGCGCGCACGGGAGCTCTGCAGTCGCCGCGCACCGAGCACCGAGCCGCGCACCGAGCCGAGCGCCGCCACGCAGCACCGCGCACCAGCCACAAGCCACGAAGGAGCACCACGCGTTCGCCACGACCCGAGTAGTGTGTGACCCAACAATCAAACAAGGGAACGGTTGCCCGTCAGACAAGCGACACTTGGTATTCACTGTCGTACATGCTGTTATAGGGCGGACGGGTGGGCGCCGATGCGGTCGGGCGCAGAGCGGAAGCCCGAGAGCACCTCGGGCCTCCGCCGATGCACCGCTCGCCAAGGGATCGGGAGTGCGGACGGGACGCTCTGGGATAATGCACACCTCTCTCTTTCACAAGGCCCAAACGTTCGTCTCGCTATAGGATATCGGTGTCCACCCAAAACAGTCATTTATAAAATAACATTCATTAAAAAATATTATTCGGTTAAATTCTTATTGTCAAATAAATCAAGTGCTATATGATGCTACTAACACAACTTCGCTTTAGATTTGAAAAGAACCTGACACAAAACATATTCATGTTAAAAGCGCGCACTAAACTTCTCACAAACATGCACAATAGTTGCATCGTAAAGAAATGCGTATGATAACATAATTATTATCGCACTGACTTTGTACTTGCGTCGTATTTACAACGGATCGTTAGAAAACTGGAGTACCCTCTCGCGTCAATCGTTATTTTGTGATGTATTCGTCGTCTACCCTACGTATTAATGGAGTTAATGCAATCTATAAACCGGACGTGCACTGTAATAGTCAAATAGCGAGATTCAAAATCGAAGCGTCCTGTATTAAAAAAATACGGACCGGAAAGTAATGTTAGCGTCACTCAAGGCGTAGTAGGCGTTTAGCTTGTGCTTACGGGCGGCGTGGCCGCTTGACGCATGAGGTGGCGGGGTCGCTGCGCCCTCTGACGGCTCCTCAGCTCGGGAGGAAGGGTTACGACGTCGCCGACACTAATCGGTTCAGGTTTTTTTATGGCAGCAGGAGCAGTCGTCAGCCCGTTCGACTCTTTGTCAGTGATCCGACCGTACACCTCGTCCAAATGAGCGTATTTCATAATTAAACTTTGTATCTCCTTACGCCGCGTTTCACGATCGTTTAATATCTGATCGCCGACGGGCGTCTTGTCGTCGTCTTCGTCGCTAGACGGGTAGTATATTTGCTTTTGCCTTCCGATGTCCTTAATGGGGGAGGAGGCGGGGGTCTTGGCAATGTTCATTTTCGAGTCAACGTTCATCTGCTGAGGCGGCGATATTAGATCTCTCACTCCACTCTGCAGACTGATGTCGACGGGTCTCAGGGAAAGTTTCGTCGCTTTTCGATCGTTCTCACTCTTTTCGGCGCGAAGGGATCTCCGTTGATGCTTTCGGTAAATGCTATTTCTATCTTTTCCAAAGTGTGAGCGATCCCTGTTATCTAGATCGTAGCCATTTTTTAAATCGTTTCGATCCGTTTGTTTGTGAGAGGATAGACGTCGATCGGTCGTGTTGCGATACGGTGTTTTGTCCCTTGTCTTTTCGCGAGAATAATTATAATGCCTTTTAAATGAACTCTCGCCGAAGACGGCCGTCGTGAAACTCCTCATTAGTCCGCGCGACACGGAGGGTTCCGGTTCAAGGGTCTTTTCGCGGTCTTCCTTTTCCCTTCTAGCCTTCTCTTTCTTCATGACGGCAATTTTATCTAGAACCGACGAATACTTATCTTCTAAGCGGGTCCTGGTGCTGCCCAACATAATTTTACTATCAATGTTATTGTTATTCGTCTCCTTGAGCGGATATCGCTGAACGAGCGGCGATGACTTGTCTTTCACGTGAGCTCTACGGAATGAGTCAGTGCGTCCCAGGGCACTGAAACCAGACGAAGCGTGCAGAGGCGACGCGTTGATGCGGGTTTTGGTCGCACCGAGGTAATTGTAAGTGCGATCGTCAGTCAACTTCTTAGAGGCCGTGGACAGTCCAGTCGAATATGACTTGTACGGGGAGACGTGTCTATTGTTCTCATAACGTCTGACATTAGCTAAAGCGGGATGCTTGTTGGACAGCATATTGTCATCGTACCGAGTTCGCGCCGTGGTCAGTTTCGAATCGACGAGGGCGTCGTTCTTCTCGGATGGGCCGCGGCGCGTGAGTCGGTTGATGATGCTGGAATATCCGTCGGAGAGCAATTGCGTGACGCTGGTGGTCGAGGCCCGGTTGTATCGCTGCCGGCGGGGGCTCGTCGCGCCGCTTCCGCTAGTACTCACACCGGCCATTGTAATTTAGCAATAAATTCTCAATTGTCACAATACGCCGTGCACGGGAATAAACGTTGCGTGATTCATTTCTACGGAAACACTGGCGAGTCACAAGTTTTGCAAAACAAGGGCAAAGTCGGTCATAGCACGGGGCTCACTCCGTCGGGGAGCGGGCCGAAAGCGCGGTAGGATTTGAGAAAGATCACTAGCGCAGCTGAGTACGGCCGTCGGTGCCAAGTAATGGTTGCGAACTAAAAATATCGGTAACCCGTGGGAGCGCCCTCCTGCGCACTCCGAGGTGCCGCGGCACGCGCATTTTCGTCGCGTTACGTTCGTTATAATTATTTACCCATTTTAATTTTTTCATACAGTCATAACTCATAACTGCTACAAAACCGCCAGGTCTGTCAGAAGTTTCTGACTCAGTGCAAGATTAGTGTAATACAATAAATATTTGCAAGCCATGGTGGTGCTATTATTTTTAGGATACACTATATCTCAAACAAATAATGGTTGAGATTATTTAATGAATTTAATAGGTTATCTATATCATTGTTTTTCATCGCGCGATGAGCCCGAGAGCCAAGACTGTTTTGTCAATAGGTGGGCATTAATTGGGTTAGTGGAGCGCGGAATGAACCGAAGCATCGTATGCGCATTGCAGTTAGGCATCAGATTATAACATTACACATATCTGTCGAATAGGTCAAGCTATTAATCCGTTGCGCCGCTTATCTCTTTATCGCGAGTTTAAGGGACAATAAGCAACGGATGCGGGTGGAACAAAAAACATCATGCTATGCGTCTGATGATACTCATAACACGAATACTCATCGTGCCGTCTCATGCTTATCGTATATGGCATATAGTAAAAACAAGCTTATATGGAGCTATTTATTTTATCCTTAATCATCTATCTCATTTATAAAAAAATATTCATTTTATCGACGCTGCGACGATATGCTCAAAATTTTTTATTTAGATGAGAAATTAAAACACCCGTGTGTAATATACGCTTCAAATCTTCACTCAATCGTTCAGTTGACGTCGAAGAAATTAAAATATCGCATTCCTCGCGTATCCGAGTTGCATGCGGCGACTTTCACTGGGTAATATTTTCTGCTTCAATATGTAACATTTTCAGTGAATACCGACTCGCGTCGGCCTCGAATGTAATGGCAGATCAACGTCAGATTAAACAATGAACTAGACATATTGTTCAGGTGTTAAATTTGAAAATGCACGTTTCCAGTGCACGCGTAAGCGCCATCGGGTCTTCAACATACCTCGTCGAGTATATAGTTGAGTTCGTCTTCATAAACAACGCTCGCCACGCACGTGAATATCAAATCCACGATATCCGTCAAGAATCTCGACACCACCGACTTCATCGTCACCGGAATGAAACAGATTTCCACCACAACAAATACCACAAATGTCACTAAAGCGTCGCCGCTAATAACCCGGATAATATCGAAAATTTTTAATCTCATTCCGCGTTTATTTAACAACACCGGCAACGGTGGAACTGAGCGAACATCGCCGTCAGCTGTGTCGGCCGCGGACAAAAGCTCCTCGAGTGCAGGTAAAAAGGGACACGAAAAACTGGTACCCGGCCCCATCTTCATTTATCGCAACTACCTAATAATAATAATCTACTGTACGACCGTCGTTATTTTTATTTACGAAAAAGTTAACGTCTCATTCATTGCACTTAATCGCTTAATTATGTTATAATATAAAAATAAGTTTTGTGACCGTAAACACTACGAGTGGGTACTTCAATTTTTATCATAAATTATTAATTAAAGACATCGATGTTCAGAGTAAAATTACAGGGCCACTTTTAATCTTTTCCAAACTGACCTTGCCCGAAATTTTAGTGCACGCCCCGTCCACGTCGAAGAGTATCTCCGCGACCATATTGAGGAGCTTTGCGACGTCGTGCCATTTGCATCCGTGCTCCTTCAGGAACCTTTTATACAACTCGTAAAAGGAGTTGAGCCGGAGGGGCAACCGAATCCGGTCGTGCCTCACCAATTCGGCCATCGCCTTGCACTTATCACTGCAGTCCATGCACACGCGAGCGGGTAGAACGCCGGTCGATTCACGACTGTTTTATGAAACGTATCGTGCTCTTCGCGACTTAACTGAATGAAATACGATTATTTCAAACAAAAATTTTGCTATATCAAAATTAACGTTCTTTAGACGAAGGCGTGTGGTCGACGTCTAAATGAGAACTGAAACGAATGATTCCACAGCGTATCAATTAAAAGACGAGGACAATTTGTAATTCGAGCTCTCGGTTGAAACAGGATTTATCCGCGTATTGTCGCATCGTACTTCTACTAATTAACTACTCCCATAGAAAGGGACGCGTACTTATATGAAACGAAAATACGTCGAAACGGACACTTCGTTAAATAATAAACTAATATCCCATATTAGGAAGCGTTATCACCGCAATTAAGCCCGAAAAGAATCATCAGTTGTGACTAGACGTTAGACGATAAGAGATATCAGGGTTCCGTATGTTGTAACAGTTCAACTGCATGACCCGCGCGGAGGTGTCCACATGACTACTGGCCCGTGCTACGATAGTACGCCCGACGTGATCGGCGTCGATCAAGCGAGATATCGTTCAGTGTATGTTTATTTATTTTTTTATATTGATACGAAAACAAACAAACAAAACGTATATTTTTTTATATTAAATATTTTACCAAAAGTGCTAAAATCATAAAATAAAGGAGAGTGTGGACGCTTTTTTTTAAATATTTTCTACCTAAAAGTAAATAAACAAAATCCTGCCAAGTGGGAGCTCCCACTTGGCAGGATTTTGTTTTAGATGATCGCGCAAGCAACAATCGAATGTTTAATCGGTTGAAAGCAACCATTTATCGTATGTTCTCACTCAACGTTCGATGTTAGATATGTTTTACGGTGTACGTTGTGCGCGCTGCGGCAAGGTCAGCCGGAAGCAATGGTTTCCAAAAGATAGGTCCGTTTCGGCGCATTTATCTTTCACTATCAACAGACGGCCGAGACTCCCTCAAAACTGACCTCCATTCGAAAGCTACCTCGCCTTATCGCGCGATAAAATATGAGTGTAATAAGTTGATGTTAGCATTACCGCAGATTAATATTCATTTCCAATATGAAAGCACTAAATTTACTTTTCTTTACGTTAAATAATAAAATAAATCGCACAGCGTGCTAAATACTCATGAGATATTGGCAAAACTCTCGAATACTAAACTATTTGTGGGTAAAACTTCCGCATATAAAATAAGAAGTTACATTGACCGGCCTATAGGGTTGTTCTCTCGAATGTGACACATTTCGGTTAAATGTTTTTAAAACCCGCATTCCTTTATGAACCCGCGCCGAGAATCTGAATCACTTGCGAATCCGATACGAACTGGCTGTAACGAGTTTCAATCTAGGGATTTTGTTTTACAATTCAAAACAATTGAAGACTACAACGCCGTAATGACAGTAGATTAGTCAAATGTGTTTGCGTTTTATACCAGCCTGCGAAACGTACAAGTTCGATAGCGTGAAAAGGCATATACTTTCAGGTTAAAATAACAATAACACTATAGATAAGAGAATGACATTTTATCGTAACACGCTACTACACAAAGGCTGCGATAAGGTTTAATTTCATGAAATTCGTCAACATAAAAGAATTACTTGTATGTCTGTGAACATTTTTAAGTGGGTATAGGCGACCCATATACTAATGAAAGACTTTACCGCGTGGGCGGGGGCGTCGCGAAAACCGTCGGGTCGTTTGAATCACGAATAAAAGCACAATAGTGAGCATGCGGGATTATTGGCTAGGTGAAGGTGATCGCTGCTATTTCTGTGCGCGCGCTGTTATTTGTTAAACGTTCATACATCCGACTGATGGCGCCATCTAGTATTCGCCATTGGGACAACATAGATGTGCCAGCTGCTGTTACTATTTCTGTCTTTATATTACTCGTATACTTTTATTAGAGCAGTATTCATACACAACGAAATTGCGTTTCATATTATTCGCATCCTATCGATCAATAGCATAGCGGTTATGTGCTTTAATTAAAAAAATGCAAATGAATCGATAACGATCTTGGTACTGACAATATAAATAAATGTCTTAAAATGATGTAAAAACTAATTATTAAGCTGACCTCAACTTCTTGCTGTTGCTTTTCTGGGTTCAATTGAGACGCTTGTGGCCGCTGCGGTTGGGGAGGTATATACGAGCAAGACGGTTGAGGTTCTATTCTCGATTGATTGACTGGTTGCGGTTTCTTTTGGTGAAGGTCGGTTGTGACTCCCTCTGAGTTTTGGACATTAATTTTCGGTACATTTTGGTTGACCACATTGACTGTTGGTTTAGTTAACCAGGCCGGAGGCACCGCGGGCGGGTGTGGGCGTTGAGGTATAGGATTTGTTGATTTTGCTTGAGTTATTTCAGCATGAGTGACTGGTTTTTGGCCAAAACTTTTACTATGTTGATTATTGACCTGACTGGATCCCTTTGGTATTACTTGACTTTGAACGATTTCATCTGATTTAGCAGCCAATTCATTTTTCGAATATGACGACCCATCTTTGCTAACAGTCTGTGGTAACTGTACTATAGAGTTGTTAATCGGAATGGAAGGTAATTGACTTAGAGGCACATTAATAGGTCGTTTATTAGAATTTAGCACATTGTGATCGTATTCCACGTTAACTTCACTTTTAATTACTTTATTATCTTCTACGCTCAGAGGTGAATGTTCGTGCCTACTTTGTGATAATTTATCAATCTCGGAGGACAAATCTTCGAAGCAGGGGCTGATGCTTCATGATAATCTGTCGAGCACGGTGACGTGTCTTCACTCGTATCGTCCGAGCAGTGTGCGGGTCTTGCTGAACTTTTACTACTCGGAAGAAAGGCTAAGCTGGACGTAACGTCGATGGAAATGTCCGCATTAAGTGATTCTTCATCGCTTATTCTTGTCGATGATTCCCTATTTGCAAGCGTGTCCAAGTTGTTTTCTTTATTTTCTAATAAGTTTATGGGCGACTGAGACAAGATTTCTTCTGTTAAATTAACTGTTTGAGCATCTTGAAAATTGTCTGTAGCAGCATCAGAGCTTTTGATAGTGTTACAAAGATTTTCATTGGCATTTACTTCTTCAACTCTACTAGTTTCTTCCAGTGGCAGATTAAAATATTGAGGGGCAGTACAATCCAGATCAGTTAGTCTCATATATTGCATACAATCTTCAACAGGTACGTCAAATTGAGGGGAATAATATTCGAATGCATTACTGTTGCTGCCATATAGTGACCAAGGATCGCTTGAGGGTATGAGTGGCAATCCTTCATAGTAAATACCAGTGTTCATCTCTTTATCTACAAGCAACTCTGGTTTATAATCCCATGATGGCACAAACGAGTCTTCAAATGCTAAATAATTATCAGGTAGCACGACAACATTCTGGTTTATCTGAGTAGGATTAAAAGTATTAGAGCTTTCATAGAAAGGATTGTTAAGTATTAAAGATGGTGCACCTTGTATGTTAAGATTGTCTATCATAACATCAGCCTCGAGATAAAGGTCATACTTTGACAAATCTGGTTCAGAATGACTCGGGCGAAAAATATTCCTGTCATTTTCATTACAAGAATCATATAAGTCAGATATATTATTGCAACTCCTACCTCTTTGTAAATAATTAATAAATGTATACGCCGTGTCAACGCTATTGCTTCTGGTCATATTTGAATTTAAGATTTCATTGTTTTGACTATCCGAAGTTGGCACTCCGACGTTGTTTATACCGTGCAAGCTATGCGGATACTCTGTTGATTCAACGACAGCAGTGGTGGTAGAATTTTGAGGGTCACAATCACATAACAAATTATTTGGCAAAAGAATTATAGGTGGCAGTGTAGGGGGTGGATCACAAAACAGCACATTATTAGGAGGTTTCCGTGACTGCTGGGCAGCCATGTCTGGCCGCCCGCAATCTTTCTCAGCGAATTAACTTTTCACACCGGTAGCAAAAACGCGCTGGGCGGCCGATTCAGCTTCGGAACTGACTGAAGGCGTACAAAGTGACGAAGGCGAACACAAATAGAACAGGCGCAAGCGTGATGAGGTCGCCGTCTCTCGCGCGAGTCTTCACGGACGAAGGCGCATGCGCACGCGCATTCACATGCCAAACCAGTCCCGTACATTCGTCCAAACCGGCAGTGACGTATACGTATTATTGTGGTTCCGGTATTTGGCCTCGACATTATATGTTTTAAAAAATATAGGGTAGGTCTTGGGTGGACACCGTAGCTAATGATCACGAGCGTTAGGTTCATTAAACTCACAGATAGTCGTTCATTCATCCACAATAAAAAACTACATTGGAATAGTGACACTGACCTGTTCAGGTGGTGACCGTGGAGAAGACTCGTCGCGGTGGTGCCTTCTCCGGCGGTGCGATGTCGGAGAACGCCGATGATGTGATCTTTTTGATCGCTCATTTCGCCGCCTCCAGGAGTGCTCCGAGCTGTGAAATCAGCGATCGGTAGGCTATAGGGTTAGTGAACTGGGACAATCGCGGTCAATAATTAGGTAAATAAAGGCCGAGGTGAGGTTTTAATAATGTGATTGAGAAGCAAAATTCAGTCGTTTTACTAACGTTAAGCATCGATCCTCACGAGCCGTGTGCGGATCTAAGAGATTGTTCAGGTTGTCGGGCGGTGGCACGCAACACGTAACCAGTAAAGCCCTGAGGGCGGTCCAACGTTTACGCGCCGTGCCGGTTATCTTAAGTACAACGTCTTCTTTTTGAGAAATACTAGATATTTGCGTAATGTACATATTATCATATATATTTACATAGTTTTAACAACAATGTGAAAAACTTGTACGTATTTAATTCTCGCTGAACTGGGGAAAAGATTCAAGGTCGCGCGTAATTAGCGATTCAGCTGACTAAAAAAGACGGAGATAAACGTCATATATAATTATTACGGAGGGCAATTTATTTGCGATGTCACCGGCAGGCATAAACCGTCGTTTAGCACGTTCACGAACCGACTGCCGGCCCGCGTCGCCCGCGCACTCGTTACAACTTCAAAGCTATAAGGCTATGGAGAACCGACAATACTCGACAACCGAACAATCAAAGCCAGGCGACGTCATGTTGCTGAGTGATTAGATGTATTATCATTTACATCAATTATGTTGAACTCACCGACAGATACGAAAAGCTATAGGTTTAGCCACATCGACTATTCTAAAAAAACTTGCACTTCTTCCTTTTCTCATTGGACACGCGGTATTTGGGGAAATATTACAGTTTCAGCTGACATTTTACGATGGGAGCGTCTATAAGAAACATCGATAGGAAACTGCGACACGCCGTTAGTGAACTCGTCAAAGCTAATGGTATTATGCCTCGCGTAATTGGTTTATTGTGGGTACAAAAATAGTTTAGAGCTGCATAGAGATACCTTTTTGATACGATGTTACATAAAAGAGGAGACGAAATTATTTATATACATTTGGACTAATGCACTAATACGCTAAGTATAAACGTTGGTAGGCGTATGTCAATCGCAAGGCGTAATGTCACATAGTTTAGCGCCTAGCGCGGACAGGTTGAACTTGAGAGCTTTAAGACGTCCTTTTAGAGTGTACCCAGATTCAGATCGTACTCATACAAGCAGATGTACACTGATTTTTGCGCTACTGTGCTGATGTTAATAATTTAAGGAGGAAAACACCCGTAAGATGTTATTGACGCATTGTTTTGTTGTGTGTGATAACAGCTAACCAGAAATGTAAATGGAACAGGAAATTCCAGCGTGTTTCGATAGACGGGTGTTTCCTACCTACCCACTTTACAGTAGTCAATAAACTAGTATACGAATATAATAATTATTTCCAATCATATATAAAAAAATGTGTGTCAGTAAATGCAGTTTATGAATTACTTATAATATTTAAAAATAGACAACCTGTTTTAATACAAGAAAAACAAGTCATTTTTCATTCTTATGAATTTACCGGTTGAAATATTGTGTTTTTTTCGTAACTCACTAGTAAAAAAATTAGAAACCCTAATAAAATATTAACAATATTACGGTTCTCCCACGGATACATGATATTGGCTGAACCCATTTCGAATAGGAAAGCCATCAAAATATAACGAACGGTTATCGATGTCGACGTCTATACCCTATACGTATACACGCGTCATACAATACATCGTGAATAATAAATAGCAGGACATTCACTTTCAATCAAACACATTAGGAACACTCGGACTTACGTGTGTATTCCTCGAAAACTTGCCGTTTTCACCGGCTTTTAGACAAACAAGTTCGTTGGGTTTCCGATACACGACAACAGCTGATCGTTTAGAAATTTCCGAATATATCATAACGACAGATTGTGTAAGAGGAAGTGGACATTAGAAACTAGTTTTAGTTGATGTCTTTGTACTGCGGAGACACGTTTCATATATTTATTATGCAAAAGAACGTTTACATACGTCAGCCAGTGAAATTCATTTAACCTTGATAACCAAAATATCCCGAAAAAGAGTGAAGTAGGATATATGCTTTGATAAAAATGATCTAAAAAATAATTGCAATGTCCAAACGGTGTCAAAATTAGTGAAAAATACACAATAGCCTGGCGTGAAACAAAGGCGAACTTTTTGCATTTTCTTGCGTCTGCATCGCTTCTCAATGAGTAATTAACTTTTGTTTTAAAGGCAACACTAGAACGTAACGGGGCGACTTAATTACTTTTAAGTATAACAGGACCAGGTGACTTATAAGACCATCAGATAACCTTTAAAATAGAATTAATAATTAGTAAACAGAGAATAAAGTAGGTTCATTGTTTTAAAAACTTCTCGGCCATAATTAAGTCTATCCTTTGACGCGGCGGCATTTAAATAACGATTACGAAAGAATAATGGCGGTGAAAGCGAAATTTCGACGGAATCCACGATTCGCTTTTATTGTCGCGTCGAGTACTTTCCGTTCCTCTCCACGCGGTCATGTGTGAACTTTTGGCGATAAAACTTTGTGTCAATACGAGAAAGTTATCTTATTCACACAAATGGACATGACATAAACATGCTAAAACTCTGTCGCGATACACAAACCAATTTGTCATCTGCTGTAAGTTGGATTGAGCAGACGGCGGATATTTTTATTTCAAAAATGCAATGCGGTCAACGTTAAGTCGAATACGGTAACGCTGCTACGGTTCTTTATAATTAGAACCGGCGAACACATGTATCGTATCGAAACATCTCGCCTCTGTTTACATACCCGGTAACGAGGTAGCCGATAAGCAGAGATCTTACTTTCTTATACGTTTCGATAGAGGCAAACACTTCACAGTAGCCTTTAATATTTTTGACATTCAACAGAACTGACGAGCCATCGACGCGGTGACACTGACAGCCCGACAGACGAACGGTTACAGTAAAAACTAATTAGCACGAAAAATCGTCCCCGATATTATCGTTTTAGAGAAATTTGTACCAATTAACCTTTAATAGTATACTTGTCCGCAGGGCTTAAGGTTGACGAGGCACCGCGACCGCAGCGCGGCGGCACACAAGATCGCGACGAGAGTGGAACGGCTGCAGCATTATGGCCATAATCGATCGAATGCCGGACCGGTGCAGTGCGGGCATAGTTACGAAACCGAGCCAAGATCTTTAGAGTGACACGAGCCGAATGTGGTCAAGGTTTTCCACAGACTACACTTGTAACATTACTTTTTTACTGCGAAGCCCCATCCCCATTCGGACTAGCGCTGTAAGCACAAGAATAGAAGCTCTTAATGGTATACAAAACTAACGATGCTCGAACGCGTTTTATAGATTGGAAAGTACAAAAACACGCCCGCCACGGCCATGTGGCTGGCAAGGTTACGCCGGATGAGTGATTACTGTGAGCCGTGTCAACGCTGCAACCGAAACTAATAGCGAGCCCGCGCACTCAGGTCAATGACAACTTACTAAGTTATTAAAAGCCAAATCGAATTTTAATGGTCTCGACCATTTATAGAAAACGCTATTTAGATACGACTGACTATTCGACCAAGATTTGCACTTTTTTTATTTTATGACTAGGTTTAGCTCGATCTAGTGTGTACTCTGCAGTGAAAGTTGAATCAGTCTGGGAAAACAACGGAACTTTAACTAGATGTATGTACGTGTAGTGGAGTCTAATCAGAGTTGTGTGATATTTCGGTTTCAGTGGCGCACTCTTATGGTATTCGATCGTCTTAACAAGTTCATCATGTACGAAGAAAGTATCGCGGACAATGTTACAAAATTTCAATGAACGTGATACTCGCCACATAGAAACATCCTAACAAATGATGTAACTAGTATTTTGTAATTTTTCGAATTAGAGCGACCGCCAGCCGGTATATGAAAGAAAATAATTCTCATTTTCAACGCTATTGTGTTCCTAGGATAACACAATAAAAACAAAATTACGTCATAGCGGGTTGTCAAATCTTTAGCGAGCATTCAAACCAGGACAGGACCTTGAAACATTCACTTAAACGCTATCGAGACGAATCTTTTATATTATAGCCGCGCAGGCGCCCACGGTTTGCGAATACCTGCTTTAGTGTTTATGGCTCGCTTATCTCTTTTGAATTCGAACAAGTTTAGGAGTCCATCTAGATCTTTGCATTAATAACTAATCCCGTCACGGTTGTCAGCCTATTCCGATAAATTTTGAACCATTAACGATAATGAGCGAATGAAGCAATCGTCAGCGAGATGGAATAAAGCTCTGGTGTGACTCACAGACGCTTGTGCAACGGCTTTGCACAACCGGTCTATAGACCCGAGGCTTGCTACGACTGTCAAAGTGCATAATGTTATTGATAAATCGATTCCACAATAACTTATTGTACCGCATTCTGTTGTATGCCTGCCAATATAAACTTTTAGTTTTGTTGTAATGCCCACGACTCGGTTTCACTTAGCACACAAACCGCGACGCCTTAATATCGTATCAAAGTTAGCTAAATTCACTTTAAGAAATAAAATTTATTATGCCTAAAAGGTTTTCACAGCATTATTAATAAGTTTGCACAAATGGGTATATAAGTTGCGAAGATACTGTCGCCGCCTTAAACGAGTCCCTAATCGTATCAAACAATTCACAATAGTGGCCGGTTCTATTGTTTTTATAGTGTTTGGCCGGTTTGCCCTCGATCTGGCTAAACGAACATTGACGTTTAAACGCTACAGAGAGGTCGAAAGTGTGATGAATGAGATCATATGATTGAGACTTTTTGAATTACGAACTGAATATGCTCTGGGAAGAATAAAATGGGAGTGGTTGTTAGTAAAAGAAATGTCGAGATCCCGTGTGTACATACGATACGCTCCACTCGTGCTCGCGCATACTCTTCTGGAAAGCGGCTGACTTGGGCGTCCAAGAGTCCACACCGAGGTAAAGCGCTGGCAACTCCGCGACCTTAACTTCTAGGCGTTCAGCTAACCGCTGGTCGACGACCGACTTGGGGCCACTGGTGAGCGGCCTCTGCTGGTCATTCCTTCGTTCCGAGCAACTGTAACCATTCGGTTTCTCGCCGTTGCAAGACGTCACGCTTTTTGGACCATCTGTGCTGAGCAATTTGCTCTTAACGGTCTCCGCTTTACCGTAACTTTTATATTGCACCGACTCCGTACCGTTCGCGATTCGCGAATATTTCACAGAATCGAGTGTCTCTCCATTCTGGCTCTTATATTCGACGTTCAGGTTGACGTCCTCGTCGACTCGTTTAGATGAGGCATCGTATCGTTTGTTGTGACGCTCGTCTCTGCCGTGCATAATAAAATTACTCTCGAAGCTTGATTTACATTTAGGAACATTGTTGAGATAATCGCTAAAATTTAAATCCTTATTGTGTAACCCTTTATCACAGTTATTCTTCAGCGTTTCCTGTATGTCCACGCCGTTCCCATTGTATCGGCCGTAAGTGAAGCTGGCCGGTTGGCCGTTTTCTATTCGGCTCATCGCTGTACGCTCTGCTTCTTTGCTTTCAAATTCGTGTCTGACGAGTGCGACACGCGAAACCTCTTCATGATTCGCTCCGTTTTTATACGGCGTTTTTGCGACAAAGTCCGCGGCCGTTATGCCGGCCCTGCTCTGTTCGCTGGGCGCTGTCCATGTGTCGTGTTTCTTTTTGTCGCTGCTCTTGGAAGACCAAGCCTTGGCTAGAGCGGCTTTGAGCGCCTCTCTCCGTTCGTGCACGCTCACCCTAGGGTACTCGTGTATCGGAACGATGGCAGGCGCGTAGAGGGTCGAGCGAGGGGTGGCCCGCGTGATTCGAAAACTTCTGAACTCCCTGTTGAACTCCGAATTGAGAGAATAAGCCGGTATTCTCGAAGTCACCATGTTGAGATCGAAATTTTCACTATCAATTGAACTATGAACTAATTATTCGTGTATCGTTCACAAAAAGTCGTTTTGTTTAAGCGAGCGCACTAAACACATATCGACTCTACCTGAAACGAGACAGTGCACGGTGGAAACATGTGGAGCAAGTGGGCAAAAGTAAACAGCCAAGTTAAAGGAGCGCGACGCGGATATTGGTGAGTGTCTGACGTGAGATACAAACATGGGATCGTGTCAGTAATGGGCCGCGACCTTCGAGGTGGGCGGTAGCGTGGCGGGACAACGCACTGGTCAACGAACCGCCCCGTCCTGCTGCAGCTTGCATAATGCAACGCGAACGGCTCACCTACCACATCTCTTATGCAGTTATGTTACTAGTCACGTTTTCATTGCGTACATAATTGATTATGTTCGACGAAGACATAATTCAATAGCGCAATATTTATTTTGATATGTCAGACAAGTGGGTCTATTTGCTCGTAAATATTTGTTTGACATTAAACATTAGCTCGCTATCTGGAGCAGTAATGCCGTATAAGTGCAACAAGTGTCGCCTTGTGGCGTCCCTAATATGGATAGTCGTCGAGCTGCCATATGGCCAGCAGCCGACACATCCTCGCGTCTTGCCACTGCAGCTCGGGGAGTCACTGGTTTTAACTATTACTTACAGATATAATATCAGCTGCGGCGTCTAAATGGACCAATAAGGGGCATGTACCCCTAAAGGTTGATGCTTTTTAAATTAAGTTACAAATTAAATAAAGAGGAATTGAGTACTTTAGTAAATAGATATTATACTGCACATAATGAATTCGTTCGACACTTGCATAACGAATGCACATAATATTTAAATGTGATAACACAATCCCTTGTTTGTAAACGTATTAAGAAGCCATTGTGTCAATAACAGTAGAACGAGTTAAAATTTAGTTCAACATGTTTCCACGCGAATTTAACTTTTTTTTACACTTTGCTTTGTAATTAAATCACTTAGGCCCGGCAGCCCAGATCGATCGCGTAAATTTGAGGTCTTACTAAGGGTCCCGATATTTTTTAATTCATGTATACGTTTGAAACACAAATGTGAGATTCGTAGATACCAGGTGTAGAGTAGCGACCGGAAGCGAATGCAAGAACGTCAGCCGCAAGAGCATTGCGGTCGCTACGTGCATACCTTCTCGTTGCGCGCGCGAGAACTGCGTGCGGTGTGCGTGCACCGCTGGGACCGAACTGACTGAAGGGAGGCACGAGACGAGGCAACGCACGCTCGCCAGCGAGGACCCCACCGCCACCGCCTCTCGCGGACGCTCTAGGCGGACGCCCGCCACAAGTGACTCTATCGCGGAGCACTACGGCCCGAATCGCAGGAGCACTGACCCACCTCCTGAGCCACTTCGAGTGCCACTCGTGCTCCACTCACACTTCTAAGCGCGGACGACTTCGCCGACAGGACCGGCAAGGACAGAGGCGAATTCCTGCCCGCGCCGCCCGACCGTCGCGAATAATTCGCGATCGCTCATTGTCAAATGAAATCCACTTTTCGTGTTAGCGCTGAAGAAATCTTGCCGGAATGATAATCAACAAATTTCACTTCGAGACCGTCTCTCTACATTCTCTAAACGTCTATGTTCGTGAAGCATTTCATTGTATTAATTAAACAAAAAATAATTAATTAGATAACGCAAAATATTAATATTCTTTTGATGAGTGGGCCGCTCGATGCTCAACCGCGTTTCAAATAAAACCTCACCTCGGTTTCAATGTGAAAATAGCGATTCCAGTATATTTACCTGTAACAAAGAAAAATGAATTAGTACGTTTACTTGAAACATTTGAAGGCGTCAATAGAACAATTTTATGTTGGTATAGAAGGTCAATCGATTTCGAAATAAACATTAACATATTAATTTTATGCATCTGGGCCAATATTAGAAAATTTAACACTCCAAATAAGTAACACAGAAACAGACAGTTTTAATAATTTGTTTTCGTTAACTTGTAATTCAACCTATACTATAAATCCTTACGTCGGTATTGAAGTATTCGCAATATCCAGTTTACACAATACGAGGTATTTAACGGTCTTTCCTCATACCGGGTATCCAATGTTTGTGGTAACTAAAATAATACATAATAGAAAATTAACCCAACGTATTTTTGTATTGGTTAAAGCGGCTTGAAACTATAAAGATATATATAGATAGCGAGATAGATGCTTCCTAAAAAAACTTCTATGAAGCAACTAACAAACAATTGCCTACTAAGGCCGCAGTCCTTTAACACCCTAATTAGCCAAGGATAAAGGCAAAAGGATAATGAGGATGCTTTTCACATATGTATGTGCATTTCTATTCACGTCACATTTCCAAAGTTTTGATTTACTGTTCTATAACTGCATGTCTGTCATATTTTTATTAGGGCATATATAAAGTTTGCACGGAGACGTAAATAATTACCTTTTTGGCTTATTTTATCTATCGCTCGTAGTATTTTGACGATGGGACTAGCCAGACGGATCTATCATCAAAAAAAGAGATTCACAAGATGCTAAAATTGCAAAATCTGTATTGCCCTATTGTGATCGAATAATGATTAGACAATGTACAGAAATAAATCAGAAATAAGAAGGTCCCGCTAATTAGAACAGTGAAAGTGGAACTTGAGAACAATATTAAACCTAGTAATGGATCGCTCTTAGACACAATCGCGCAATCGTAAATTATTACGGCCTACGTATTCTACTGAGAATCAAAACTAACACAATCAATAGACACTTTCCCATGTCGTTAAACAATGCGTGGTTCCAACTAAGGTTGAGAGGGTTAAATATTATGTTAATGTCAGAGGATTCTGTGAACAAGCGTGTTAAACATATAGGCATTGGTTGGTTCAAACATTTAGCGAAAACCTTATTGCTAATTCATTAGGGATGTGTGTCACTGCCAGCCATTACGTTACGCTGTTGTGATTTTATTCCCCTAGGGTTTAAAGTGCACCACTTACGTGTGACGTGACATATAGGTCAGTTGTAAGATAGACTTTTAATTAAATTCACAAGTTGAATCTCGGTTTTTCTCACATGCGTCACGAGCTCAATTCCGAGTCGTAACGGGTTTTTGGAACCTTTCGTTTTTTCAAACGACGACCCAAATGTTGCGCAACAAAACACTAATATAAATCAATTAGGACATGTGCTGAATCAACATAAAAACTCCAATGGGACCGTTATCTTTCAAATCGAGTACTGACTGTACGTCACTTAAGCGAACAGTTTATGTATTAGTAATTTGTGAGGCTCGTAATGTTTTACAGGTTGTTGCAATATACATTTCAAAGTTCGCATATATATAGACATAAAAACCTATTTTATAAATATATTGTACGTGGAAGGCATGTAAGGATGTTTACCGTTTGCAGTCGTAAATACTACAAATTACTAAAATATTGTGTCAAGAGACGCGGTCGCGCTCCGCCACTCGAGCCGTCAGCAAAAAAGGTGCCGGAGGCCGACAAACGCGAGGTCCAATGACCCAAATGTTCAATACTGGACCGCTGAGACCAACGAAAGAAAAATCGGTCATCGGTCTAGCGGACATCGTTCGTTTATTTCTTTGTTCTTTGTTTCCGAACATCCGAGGATAGCGCTCAGCGATACGAGAATTTAGAAACTATAAAAACAAACGAACCGCTTTGTTGCTTTCTTTGCACCATGAACAAGGCTGTTCTGAAATTCCCAACGGACTCGAATTACGCGGCGCAAACGAAATTCGATATCCATAAAAGGAAAGACTACCCGATTAGTAGGGCAGAAAAAATCCTAACAATATCGTTGTATTAACCGAAACGTAATATTAAACTATATATCCGCATAAAGTAAGCTATTATGACCGCGTGGAACTAATTCTATTCCGTAAATGGTGCCGTAAACTTTATCTGGTAGACACGACTTGAGTTTGAACTGAGTAGTTTTACTGTCAATATGGACTTCCCGAATCTAATGTTAAAAACATAAATAAATCAGGAATATTCGCGGGTACGTACTCTCAACAGTTGCTTTAATAATGCAAATGAGTTTTTTGTGGGTTCAAGTTTCGCGGTAATTAGGGTACATTAGCATGAGGCGGCGATGCTCGTGTGTTGCAAAAGTTAACACAATAATAACCGAGTTAAGAGTAACGGTTCACATTAATCATCGAGGTCGGAATTGGTCATACGTACTAAGCACATGACACGTAGGATATTACTCGGTTCCGATTCACCTTCGCTGTTTCACCGCTAGCCATTGTACGCAACGATTTCCACGCAATTAATGTCCTGTGTCAATCACCTTTAACAATACGGAACTATTGTAAACTGGCGGGCGGCGGCTAGGCTCGATACCTCTACTGCCTTAATTAAATTCGTCGCTAACTCAAACTATCGCTTCAAAACACAAACTTTTTAGTTCCTATTTAACACATATTAAATAAATGCGTCACGACGTGCATTCGAATTCTCTCGTATCCTAAAAGTTACAAAACTTTTAAAAATTACTTATTGTCAATTCTTTAAAATACTAGAGTATCTTTTTAAAACATATAAACTTTGTAAATTATATTTTATAAATTAAATAAAGCATCGCGTAAGCCGGACAGGAGAAAACAGACCGAGATCAACATTAAAATACCTTTCCCACAGAGATGTGCCCGTTGTGCTTCCGAGAAGAACAACAAAGATCCCGTGCAGCATTTGTGACTCACGCCTTAGAAGTGTCTCCAAACAAAATAAAAAACATAGGCCGTTTAGCCGGTTTGTTGCACCATCGGAACGGATACCTATTTTGCATACATTCTAGATATTTCGTTGGAAACAAACTAATGCAGGTTCAAAGCGTAATAGGATCTAATGTTATAAATGCGATACCGGGCCTCAAACCTCTTGTAAATTAAAATTTATAGGTTCTGTTTCCTTAGTTTATAAGTCTAGAACTTGGGGCATAAACAGTTAAAAATCTTTCTCATTGCGATCAATTAGGGCAGAAAGCTGTCGGCTCCCTGAGTGCTTGTACAGTACAATTCGGCGAAAAGACGCGTGGGCGCGGGCCACATCGCCAGCCTTGTAAACTGTTCCTATAATTTAATTGACATTCCGGGTTTTCGGAACACCGTTGAAGGCTTCCATTAGTCGAGATAAAAAGCAAGTGCACGTAGGCGGTGGGCAGAAATTGTATCAAATCACCATTAGTGAATCAGTAATTTTCACGTCTTCGTTTGAGCCTCCAGGACTATGATTAAAAAAAACTACTTGCGGTATTTCGACGGCTTAGTTTTAAATTGAGAAAAAAAATGTATAATACTATTGAAAAGCGAACAAATCATTACTAATTAGTAGGATATTCCATTAGTGACCTGTGCTCTTCTCCATATTATGGTCATTGGCCTATCGGTAATCAGCACCTGTCCGGCCAGGTGCGTCAGCCCTAATAGAACTCGAGTTATTTACTTCAAGAAGGACAGAACTAGCTTCTTGGAATATTAACAAATTAATGCAATCCATAATATTATCGGTATCGACAGTGAAATTTGACTTATTTGGACTCATTTATTGTAAAGACGCAGAATAAAGTTGATACATTGAAAGAGTAAATAATGATAGTCGTACTTTTAGTAATTATATCCTTTTGAAGTTCGGGTACATGATTAATTTTGTATTTTACTGATAAACCCCTGGGATGAGTAATCGGACAAGCCTAATATGATAAACAGAAGTCATTATTAACGATAAACGGAAGAGGTTTTTCGAATCGACTTCCTTCTACGTCACCTATATCAATAAGCCGCTGCCTAGGTGCGCAGTCACGTTCAGGTGCAAAGGTGGCTTTCGCTTATTAATAATACTCTGATAAAAGGGAAATCGTGTCACGTCCGATGACAAATGAGTGCAGACAATGTGCAGCCAGGCCACGGAGGTGGACCACGATCAAGGTCACGGGCCCGGGCTGCGAGGCGCTCGAAAACAAAAGTGAGCACGCTTTAGCACCTCGAATTTATTGCGATTACGCAAATAGAAAGCAGTGTTTGCCGTTTGTGCGTAACAAAATAGGAGAAAACAGCTTTGGTATTCTTTGGCTCCTTCCACTGTTGTACACGTGTGTAATGCCCGTCGTACATTATAAACATGTTTAGAAGAGTCGGATGAAGCTGCGGTATCGATGAGTTTGCGGACGCGATTGCTTACATTGAAATCCATGGCATGGAATGGCACAATTACCTCCGTGAGTTATTGGCGAGTATTGACGATCAACGGACAGCAATAAAGCGAAAAACCACTTACCGACGAAAGGTGAACAATTCATAACAATTACGTTCTCCTTAAGTTATGATTAACAGACCAATATACTATAAAGTGAACCAGAAGTGGATAAATACTTCCGCGTGCATTACCGAAAG